AAACTGTTTTTTTTCATCTTTACCTCCATTCATTGCTCTATAAAGTGCTTTAAAACAATAATTCAAATTGCTTTATTGTAAGGTTACCGACCGTGCAAGGGCTGTATAGCCGGTCAAGGTCGTTAAAAACTTCCATTTGTTGTTATTGTAAGTTTGAATAAGATCCTAAAGATGAGTAACTACCAAGTTAACTTTATGAAACTCATAAGCCACTAAATAATTAAATTCAGCTGTAGTGTGAACGTATTATTAGTCACTATTAATGACCCGAGATTTTTAAAGCTAAACATAAAAAATTGTGCCAAAAGTATTGAATTTTATTACTCCCCTTCAACTGAAACTTGATTTTACCTTAGTGCCTGAGTTTTATTTTAGTTTAATTGCCCTTTTTTCAATGACATTTTACGAATAAAATTGTCATTTTTCTGACTAGAGCACCTTGCCCTTTTGAAATCCTGGCTAGAACACTGTATCTTCATGTGAATGTGAATGTGAATATATATATATTTAACAAACAATAGTTAATTTCAGTCCCAAAGATTTTCTTTTTTATTTGGTTGAATTAATAATACAGATTATATTTTTTCTTAAGTCCCAATACCAGGAATCATCCAGGCCCTTTTTTTTCCATTCAGATAGAATTTGTAAATGTCCTGAAAGTTGGATGAATGATGATCGAAAAGTCCTGATATATTCTGGTTTATATAATATGATTTTTGAAAGTCTTGAGATATCCTGAGAATTCCCCCAGTTTTAAGCTGCTTGATTTGAAAGTCCTGACATTTTCTGGAATTCTCCCATTAAGTTTTTTTCTAAAAAAAGGACTTGTAGCCTAACAGGATATTTTCAGGATATCCCAGGATAATCTTGAGATATCCTTATTATAAAATTTGTCAGGATTTATTTCTGCAAGGGGTGTATGCATCATTTGATGGAAAATGTAAAAATAAAAGTATTGGTTACAGAACAGTCATATAAATGTGACAAAAAGTAATTTTAACAAAAAATAATATATCACATTTAATAAGTTTACACTGGTTGAAATAAAAACCAAAGTATTCTTGAAATCCTTTCCTGTTACAAGATATATACAAGGTATTGCACAGTTTAGGAAATTGTTTGTTGCAACTTTCTAGCAAACAAACTCTTTCTTGCAACATTGCAGAAAAATACTGCAACTTTCTCATGAACAAATATTATTTCAGTAACATTGAGAGATTATGTTACAAGTTACAGCTGCAACAACATGTAACTTTCTTGCTAGTACTTCTTGTAAAGAAATTTGTTTGCTCCAATATAATAGAAAACTTTTTACCTCAGTAAGGGATGTTAAATTTTCAGACACAATTATGCTGAAATTTTCTAAGTTTTTTTCCATCAAGCAAAATGACAGAGTTTAAATACCATCACACTTTCCATCAACAAAATATTCTAAGTCCAAATTCCATCTCACTTTCCATCAAAGAAAATGTTTAAGTCCAATTTCCATCAAACTTCCTTCATTTCCATCCTATTTTCCATCAGGTGGAATAAATGCCATCATATTTTCCATCAGAGGGTAAAAATGCCATCCAATTTTCCATCAGGGGTTAAAGATGCCATCAAATTTTCCATCAAAAGAATGGGGATGGAAATAAAATTCCTAATTTCCATCATCCTTTGATGGATTTTTTTGGTTTAGGATGGAATTCCATCAAGTACCATCAACTTTCCATCAATTGTCCATCAAGTGTTGATGGAAAATGAAGAAATTGATGGAAGATCTAGGGAAGGTGTAACCCCCTTGGCCAATCATAATTCAAAGTATTAGAAAACAGGAAACCCCAGGTTAATAAATAAAGAAAAGTGCTCATACTGAGGATTCATTTATTTTCGTGGGTATCAATTTTCGTGGATTGAGGAAAACTTGCAAATTTCGTGGATAATAATTTCATGGTTTTGCCAATCTCTGCATACAAAGCCTATAGAAAATTTGTACCCACAAAAATTGGTATCCAACGAATAATAATGAATCCACAGTACATTACAATTTATCATTGCCAAGCTGCTGATTAGTCGTGAAGTCATTCTGTTCAGTAATACATTGTACTGCAGTAATTTGTTATGAAAATATTTCATATTAAGGATGTACACCTCTGAGGAGCCGAAAATTTCTAGAATTAAACTTTTTTTTTCAACTTGATTTTTGGGTTTATATGACTGTAAAAAAAATAATTGGTGAAGAAAAAATCATATGGTGGTGTACTTCTTTTTTTGCTACGGCCATTTGAAAGTACTCAATTTTGATGATTTTCCAATTTTTCATCAATTTTTACCCATTTTTGGGCTATTATCATGAAAAAAATCAGTTTCACAATTAATTTTTTTTTCATACTTTCACTAAAGATGAAGTGGACCAATCTGAATAAATTTAACTTAAAAAAACTATAGGTAGGTGTTCATATAAGAAAGTTTTATAAAATATTGTTGCTTTTTCGTGTCAAATTTACCATGCTGTCAATTTTGTAAATTTGGGATTTTTCTCTTTTTTTAGAACAAAAAGCATATTATTTCAACTTCTTTGTTATAAATGATTGAAAAAATACATATCTAAGAAATTTGAAAAGAAAAAATTGATATGAGATGTACATGTTTCTGGTAAAATCATTTCTTGTACCCCTCACCCGTTTTCTAAAAATTTTGGATAATGAGACTGACTTGATTGGTTATAAAATTTGAAAATTTTATTACTCAAAAACTACTTTGTGTAAATACACAATTTTTTCACAGAGTTAAGTTTGATTATAATATTTTTTAAATTCATTGATATTTTCCACTTGTATCACATGTTTTGGAAATAATTCCAGAACGAGATTTCAACAAGACTGAAACGTCAGAAGAAAACATCCTTAACACATTGAAAAATTCAAAAGTATCAGCAAACAGGAATTAGGTATCTGTAAAAAATCAGGAAAACACCCACACATTACAACTTGTCATTGACAAGCTGCTTACTAAATTTGAATTTATTCTGTCCAGTAGTATTGGAGAAATATGTTGAGAAAATTTAGCATAATATTATTGAAAAGATCACAGTTTTAGCAAACAGGCATTTTAATTCTGAGGAGTTTTATACGACAAGAAGAATCTTTAAATATGCATTATTTGCATTGTATACCATAAAAAAAATAACATTTTCTGCAAACATTTGCAGGAAATTGTATCCCATTTTACTGATCACACATTCAAGTGTGAGATTCTGTTCTAATGTGTTTAGATTTTACCTCGCCCTATGGCTCAATTACAAGGTGAAATAAAACTCATTTATCTATATATAAACGTTCTTAACCAGCACTGTAGAGTAACATTAATCAAAGCATCCTCGATGTTGTGATCCAGCCATATTCATAGCTAGTCTGATATTCTTCCTGACCATACTTTTTTCAATATTTTTTTCTCTTTTTATTTCCAATCTTACTGTTAAATTTCTATGTTATTGTCCAAAGGTAGGGAATTTCGCAATATTGATGCAAATATTGATACATGTATATATATTGATATTTCAATTTTAGACTCTGTCAGATTTTTTTTTTTTTAAATATTTGCAATTTAATGGAATTGACAAGAATGGAAAGGGAAATCTACAAACAAGTAATATATTCTTTATATGCCATTATTAATAATTGGCTTAATAATTTCCAGAAAGAGGCCTTGGAAATGCACTTTCTCAACAACAAAAATTAAAAAAAATAATAACTATTTTTTATCTAAATTGGTTTTCATTTCCTGTATTCAAATTTAAATGTTCAAATACCTAATGCTGAGATATTTCCAATTACTGTACATGTTAAATAGCAATATAATGGGATATAAATGTAGAACAAACAAATAAATTTTATTGCAGAAAATGCTCAGGTAAGACTGGGACTATTATACTAATAGTCCCAGGGTAAGAGTTATGCAATTTTGTTTATTGTTTCAACCAAATTTCTGATAATTGTTACTAATTAATTAGAACTTGATTATTGACTTATGTCAGATGATAATGACACTGACTTTACAAGTGAAATAGAATTTGCTTGCATTTTTTATACATATTTTTTCATTCTTTGTCTTTTCTTTGAAAAAAGACCCATCTGATTAATCATTCAGCTAGCTAGCAAAATTAACAGAATATTTTAATGTAGTGTAGATCAAAATAAATAATACATTTGTAGGTTTACTATTGAGATCAAGAATGTGTGTATTCAGTTAGGTGTATTTAATTATGTAACAGGTCATGAGATATTAACTGGTGAATTAAGACTGGGGTTGTTTCCAATTAATACACCTTTGAGTGTAATTATTTGAAAATCATGACAGTTGATAATCATTCTGACTCTTACTTGACTATGGAAAGAATTTGAGTAATACCATTTCAAAAAAGTGTGGGAATCAACTTAGATATATTAATACACATGTTGACCCAAATTTCATTGAACAATAATTTACACAAGCATAAGATACTAATATAATACTTTCAAAATTCTTATCAACTGATTCAATTGATGTACAATACTTTTTCAAATTAATTCATAAATAGTAAATCATTATAAATTTTGATTTACAAAGGAACTATATGCAAGTGTATATCTAAAATAAAAAGGTTGTTCGACCAATCTTTTCTTAATTTAAGGGCAAATAACATGTCAAAAGTTGGCAGTTGATGATTAAAATGGTGTAGAAAGTTTCTGCAAGTCATAAAAACACATTATAAGTTTCATGATATGTCTTCAACTTAGTATTCTGAACCATCTCCAAAACCAGAGTGATCGCATAGATCCAGCATGGCTGAATCAAAAATGTTACAGCATTTGTATTTGAAGACCTGTAGGCAAAAAGCAAATAAATTGTTGTGAGGGAAATAATGACATTAAACAGGTCATTATTTTATGCCTTGAAGCACATTTCATTGAAACTTGGTATCATCTGGATTAATTCTTCAAAAGAAAAACCTATCATTCTGAAAGAAAATAACTCAATATAGGTATATAAATAGATTTTATTTGAAATCTTACATTTTTAATAAAGGTGATGTATTTTTTTAAATTACCTGCATGTATATGCATTTTAAAGATAATTGCACAGACAGTATTGTACAATTACTACTTTATGTATATTCAATAAATATTCATTCACATTTTGTATGTTTACACTGCCATTTAAAATTTGAAAGCAAAAAACTTTGAATCATTAAATATTTATACATTGTACTAGTACAAGTAACATTTTGAGAAGATAATAAAAAAGAAATGATCATGTTGTCACAAGAGGTGCTTGAATTGGGTATTCTAACACAAGACTACAATAGCCAAAAATTAATCAATATAAGTCCCTGCAGGGTTCAACTATTTCAGGATTTCCTGTAATGATTTTTTTTTTAAATTAAGTAAAGATTTTGATATAGTTTTGTGCTAAACATACACAATTACCTCAGCTTGGTTACTTTCCAATGTTCCATTTTCCCAGGACATTATGCCCCCTGCACTTTGATAAATATGTAAACAAGCTTTCTATGTTGTAATGTTACACTACTGTTTCAGGTTAGGGTGAAGGTTGGCACCTGTTAAAACGTTTAAACCCTCTGCATTTGTTTGCACCTGTCCTAAGTCAGGAGCCTGTTGTTCAGTGGTTGTTGTTTGTTGATGTGGTTCATAAGTGTTTCTCGTTTCTTGTTTTTTGTATAGATTAGACCCTTTTGTTCTCCTGTTTGAATTGTTTTACACTAGTCATTTTGGGGCCCTTTATAGCTTGCTGTTCGGTGTGAGCCAAGGCTCCGTGTTGAAGGCCGTACTTTGTTTACTTTTTACACATTGTGACTTGGATAGAGAGTTGTCTCATTGGCATTCATACCACATCTTCATATTTCTGTTTGTTTTAATATCTTTCATCATATTGTAAGGCTCATTGAATTGCTTTCTTAATTCTCTAATATTACTTGTTCAATTAAATAGGTTTTTGGATAAGTCAAACAAGCATATAGATGTACACGTAAATTAACACACTAAAATAAATAAACAAAATACACATAAAAAAAAATGAATTGTGACATACATGTAGTTTATAACAACCAAATAATAATCTCCTAAAAATATCACAGTTTTCTGTAATGGTTACATAACTTTTAAATGTAAAGAACAAATGTGATTGTGTGAAGGTATTGACACTGCTCCTGCTACAGATATACCAAAGGAATCTGCAATGGTTGCTGCTCCTAAACTATATTCTCTATATTCTGCTCTAATCTATAAGATAAAAGTATATGTGTTTAGCCCTATCAGCAATACCCTACAAGAGAGACATCTAATCATAAAATAAACTATAACATAATTTTTTTTTCAAAATTTTATCATTATATTTTCAAAAATATTTGCAAACTTCAATGATTGATTGTTAGTGTTTAATGCCACTTTCAGCATATTTGGCTATTTCACCATGGCAAGTTTTTATTAGTGGAGGAAGCTGGAGAGAACCATGACCTTCTGCAGAAAAACTGGCAATCATACTCAATTAAGTTTGAAATTGAATGCACCTGCCACATGTGGGGTTCGAAATCACAACCTCTGCAGTGTTGACAGGCTAGTGATAAGTAGATAAACTACTTAGACCAATCGGCCACAGAAGCCCCCAAACAACAATGAGAATTGCTTACGGTGACCTAGGGGTAGCGGTGAACTTCCTGTAAGATATACTATAAATGTCTATGAATTCATTATTGTTCATAAGGTACTAATTTTGGTGGATTCCCCGGGTATAAGTGATCCAAGGTAAATGTACTAGTTACAAATTTCCTATAGGCGTGTATGCAGAATTTGTAAAATGAAGTATCCCAAAAAAACGAGGAATTATTTTAATCTGGAATAATTTTGAAATTTGGAAAATTGAAAAGAAATGTACGATGAAAAGTAATCCAACTAAAGATGGTTAGCCATGCATGCATGCCTAAGGTTCAGGTTACTTTCACTGCTTTTTTAGTGTATGAACTAACTAACCACCCTTAGCTATGCATTATTTGGGTTAGTTTGCATCATACATTTTTATCAATTTTCCAGAATTCAAAATTCCTTGTTTAAAGTACAAATTTTCCTAGCTCCATGTAAAAAAAAAAAATCCACAGTACACAAAATTTAATTACCACATTTAGTAACACTACATACCTCTTTTGAAATTTGATAAAATGTATTGACAAAAGCTGCCCCTCCTAACAATCCTTCAAAGAATATGATCACAAATATTATGGCTATATTAGGTATATATCTGTAGAACACTTGTGTTAACAGAATTCCTAGATTGATAAACTGAAAAAAAAAGAAAAAAAGTTCTAGTTATACATATACATTGTTATTTAATCATTGTCTTGTAATTTTGCAGTCAGACATTGATTCCCATAGCATAACATTTGAAAACACATGCATCTAACAATAGGCCACCTTCTTTTCACCCTTTGAATTAAAAATCAAAAAGGACTATACATATATGGAATAATATTCTTAAATGTTCACAAGACATATGTATGTCAGAAATCAGTATTCATATTTTTGAATTTTTCTTACATAATTGCTTTAGGTATGTAATGCAAAAAAGCCTAATTAGAAATATTGTCATTATTTTTTTAATATCTAGATATGAACCACAGCCTTACCCAATAAGATATTGCAAAAATATGTCTGATGTAGGAAAAAATACCTTTAAGATTAAAAATGAGTTAAATATTAAATTTTTGCCAAAAAATATAATTACAATGGCCACATTAGGTCAAATATGTCAATCAGAATGTTTATGACACCATAGTGACATCACAAGTGATGTGACATTTTGGGGGTAGGTTTTATGAAATTACCCATAATACTTTAGATTCTAAATTAGGGAATAACAAACTTTCCATATCTAATAATAATGCAAATTTAATTTATGCATTTCTTGTAAAAAAATCAAGATGTGATTCTAAATTATTGTGATGTTCTTCCTGTTACATTTTTCATATCAATAAAAACATAGTACAATGTATTAATTTCTTAATTTAGTATATTTTATTCTTTATATAGTGTTACAAACTCTTTCAAAAGACTTTAGATCAAACATGTTATATTCTAGAAGGATAACTATTTTATGGTAAACTGTCCTCTGGAAATGCTTGAACCATATGGTGGACCTCCAACATTAGAGTAGTATCTGTGATGGGGGGCCTCGGTGGCCGAGTGGTCTAAGTAGTTACTACTGTAATCACTAGCCAGTCAACACTGAGGTTGTGAGTTCGAACCCCGCTCGTGCGGGTGCACTCGACTCCAATCTTAATTGACTAGGATTGTCAGTTTTCCTATCAAAGGTCGGTGGTTTTCTCCGGGCACTCCGGCTTCCTCCACCAATAAAAACTGGCCGCCACGAAATAGCCCAAAAGCGGTGCTTAAAAGTGGTGTTAAAACACCAAAAATCAAATCAAATCAGTATCTGTGATGGCATTTACCAGTTTTCAAAGCTTAAACAGATTTTTGAGGTACCGTTGGAATGTAGTATATTTGTTACTTTGCTTGTTACTTGCCTGAATAATGGGAAGCACCCACAACCTTTTAACTTCAAAAAAATTCACAGAAGACCTGGATATAAAAACTCCTAGCTGGTAATCTACTTGGTACCTAAAACACAAACACATTACAATAGACATAACATAAACCACAAATGAGTTAACAAAATTTCTTGAAAAAGAGTCAATACTTATTACAAATAAAAGAAGATGTGTTGTATACTTCACTGAGACAGCAAACCATACATGCAGTAAAGCCTGAAAAGACATCCAGATGAATTGTTACAACTCTTTTTTTTTTCTCACATTGTAAGCCATCAAAGTAAAAAAATGCTCAGATGGAACTCATGTAAATTTATGGTGATGTGACCTGAATCAAAATGTGCAACTTGACCAATGTGATTTCACAGAAAACATTTTTGTAACATTTGAGTGGTAAATATTACATGTCTATTTAGGACACAAATCATTATTTTATCAAGTTAACAAGTTTATAACATTTGTACTATGAATTAAGTGAGATGTAGGGTATATGTAAATGATACAGCAACCCAACAACACAGAACTTTTCATATCAATTTATTTACTTTACTTAGAATATACCATCTGTATTGTTCTGAAATAGACTGCCAACAGTTTTAAGAACAAATTTTAAATAAATACAACGATTTATGTTTTGCTTCTGTTGTAAATGTAGAATTCCGAGCGTTCATATTTATAAATAATCACCATATATGTAGAAAATAACACGATTTATTCACACTGCATGTATCAAACAGACTTTACAAAATTCACATAAAATACAAAACACACAGATACAATCCGACAGTTCACACCATTCCAGCTTAATTCTGTTCATTCGTCAACAGTCCCATCCAAACATCTCTCTCCTCTCACGTCACTATCACACCACGTCAAAATACGGGAAATAATGTTTACACTGTATTGCATAAACACGGACATGTAGACAAAGTCACAGTCACAACACTTTTATCAATGACAAATATTCTATGAAAAATTACATCAAATCAATTTACTGTCTGTCATATTTATTTTTTGTTAATTGCTGTCATAATTGTCTCATTGGCAATCATACCATATCTCCTTATTTCTATATTGTATATTTTACTTACCATCTATACTGTTCTGATATAGACAGTGATACATTGTTAAAATATAATATTTCCATCTGAAAATAACAAGTATAAACTTTTATAAATTGTAACTTGGATGGAGAGTTGTCTCATTGGCACTCATACCACATCTTCCTATATCTATAAATGATAATACAATGTATATATTTGCAGTACACAGAATGACTGACAAAGATATTAAAGAGTCAATAGTATTGTTCACCTGACATACAGTTTCTAAACTTGCAACATACCTTTTTCCCATTACAAAGCTATAACTCATTCATGTCATTAAATCTTAACCCTATGTGACCTAAATCATTTCCTATTGTGATTAAAAAAAAAAGGAAAAAATAAATAATGAGTATCATTTCCTGTAATGTAGAGGATTTGGAATTTCTTAAATTCATGACAACTACAAATTTGTGTAAAGTTTAAATATAATCATTAAATTATCAACTTACCAATCCCTGATTTATAAAATATTCAGCAAAATATACCAGTATCAATGGAATCATATATTTTAATAATGGCTGAAAATATAAATATACAAATTATAAATAATGACTCAAATCATACAGGACAGACAAATGGTCAGTGCTACGACTTTTCTCCTCACCCCCATTGCTCCAAACCAATACTGATTCCAATGACACTTTCCCTGTTCTTAATCAACCCCTTAATCTTAGTTGCTGAATCCCTTGCTTCAAACTACTGCATCCACCCAACCACATCATTCAGAAATGAGAGGTTGATCCAAATGCTTGAAGGAAGTTATGATTTGAACTCTTAAACAAAAACAATATATGTGTTTGATCCCAATGATTGGAGGAAGTTATGATTTGAACTCTTTGACAAAAACAATATATGTGTTTGATACCGGTACTAAAATGAAATACATGGTACTGTCTTCCCTTAATGAGGCTTGAAACATGTACATAAATAAATGACTTCACATTACTTTGTTTAAAATGTTGCAAAATGACCATTATGGTAAATTTGTCAATTACCTTTAAGAAGACAAATCATATACATGTCATAAATAACCTTGGATCAGTTCTGTTATGGTCGTCATAACCAGTCGACCTATTCAATTGTCTGATAATATTTCAAACTGAGTTAAAGTTATGTGGAGCAAAAATGCTGCTTACCCTCCCTGAGACCTTGAATTTATCCCACAATTAGGTGGAACTTGTATTACCCAATCAATAATTTTCTGTATTCAGTTTAACTTGTAGAAAAGTGTTTATCGATAACTTTTTTTAACCTTTTGGTCATAGTCTTGTCTGTATTTCCTTTATATGTGTCTGTACCAAATCAAACCACACATTCATTAAAATAAGCTGGATACAAGTACAGGAGTTACATCATGATTTTCATATATCAGAATTCAAGAATTGATTTTTTATAAATGTGATTCTTATTAAACTTTCTGTCACATTTTCACAATAATTAATTACAGTACTCAATTATAACATCTTTATATCTGCATATGTCATTTTTAACTTTTTGTACAAATTCTTTTAATAATTGTTCATAAATCTATGCATACTTACACGTAATAGTCTTAATCTGTCTTTTAAAGATAAATATATTTTTGTAGACACTGTAATAGAAATTTAAACAAATGGTACACCTAATGTTTATCAAGTACACAAAAAATAATGAAGGTACAATTAATGAATTGGATAACTTTATGCATGTAACACTCTCAAAAGTGCCTGTCCTTGTCTATTTCGCTCAAAGTGTCCTTAAAATCACAAATCTCCCAAACTTGTCCGATTTTTACCTCTCTTAAACATGTCGAATAATTTCTATGGACCCAAATGTGTCAGATAAAGATATAAAAACCTCTGAAATTTTTTAGCGCTGATATGTCCTCTGTGACATCAATAATGTGTACAACAGTCATAATGGACTTCATTGAAAACATTAAGTTTTTGCTGGAGTTTAAAGACAAAGAAAATTAAAACCTCTATTCAAGGAAATCAATGCAGCGGTACTTTGGGTACAGTTCATGGACATTAAAAGAGTTTTTGAGTGACAAGAAAAATATCCAAAATGGACACCTCGTAAAATTGCAGATATTGTCAGAAAAGTCACAGAAAGGATAATAATAGATACACTGGATGTTTTTTTACAAGTAATCTGGATGTAGTGAAAATCTTTATGCTAGTCATAGAAAATGCTTGACAGCATAAGAATTAACAGCCTAAATTACAAAACTAAACTGCAAAGGTTAATTCTTTGAGACCTCAAATGAATCATGATAGGTCTAAGAAGATTTTGATTGTTGATTGATTGCTGTTCCTCTATTTGCAAATATTTCAGAAGGATCAAGATAAATAAATAAGGAATGTGTCCATAGGACACAGAGAGGGGCCTCGGTGGCCGAGTGGTCTAAGTAGTTACTACTGTAATCACTAGCCAGTCAACACTGAGGTTGTGAGTTCGAACCCCGCTCGTGCGGGTGCACTCGACTCCAATCTTAATTGACTAGGATTGTCAGTTTTCCTATTGAAGGTCGGTGGTTTTCTCCGGGTACTCCGGCTTCCTCCACCAATAAAAACTGGCCGCCACGAAATAGCCCAAAAGCGGTGCTTAAAAGTGGCGTTAAAACACCAAAAATCAAATCAATCAAATCATAGGACACAGATGATACCCCTGTTTGCATATAACATTATAAAGGGACATAACTCAAGAACAGTAAATGTGACACTACCCATATTTGTACTTGATCTGGGTTTTGTGGTAATAAGCATTATGTATAAGTTTCATAACATTTGGTTGAGGCAAACTAAAGTTAGAGAACAGAAACGAAAAATTCAGCAATTTTTCCATTTGTAAAGGGGCATAACGCTAGAAAGGTAAAAGTGACACTACCCAAATTCTAACTTGATCTGTGTTTTGTGGTAATAAGCATTGTGTATAAGTTTCATAATATTTGGTTGAGGGAAACTAAACTTAGAGAACGGAAACGAAAAATTCAGCAATTTTTCCATTTGTAAAGGGGCATAACTCTAGAAAGGTAAAAGTGACGCCACCAAAATTCAAACTTGAACTGTGTTTTGTAGTAATAAACATTGTGTGCAAGTTTCCTAACATTTGGTTGAGGCAAACTAAAGTTAGAGAACGGAAACCAATTTTGGGACGTACAGACGGACGAACAGACATACAGCTGGACAAGGGTAAAACTTATTATATATACATATAGAAAGGTTTTGCAGAATTGGACATGTTTGAGGACATGATTCTGAGTGTTACATGTATATTGGGCTGACAATCAATATATGTGATTTAGATGCAGAGACTCTATCCCTAACAATAATGTAATTATTATCCATATGTGATGACGAATAAATGATGAATAACTGAAGTACCAGAAGGAGAGGTACATACCTTCTTTGCTATCATCTAACAAAGCTGTTGTATCATCTGTTGTCTCATCTGTTACTGTTTTTGTGTAAATGTTATCAGGCTTTTTTAAAATCCCAAAATAACTGAAAATTCAAATAAATAGTGTTGGAATAAGTTTGAAGTCTCACTTCCATATCATATAAAATATTAAAGGATTGTAAGTATTTTTTTATTTTACCACCTTGCACTTTGATGACTTGGTTGTAGTTTTTTACAACAAGTGGTCAATTTCTGACCATTTGAAAAGTTTGATTTGATAATTGGTCAGAAAAATGTATGTCAAATTGGATTTTCTCTTTTTATGGATAAAAACATGGAAGAGGAAGTAGAAATATTTACCTTATTGCCATGGTAACAGGAATGATGGTCATGACAAACAATGTGTTACGAGGAGAAAGACCTGCTGATGTCAAACCAGCATATGATAAGGCACCAAATACTCCAGCTCCCCCTGTTCCTGAGGAATATGTTGATATAACATTTCTGTAAAAAAGGTAAACAGAAAAGAGCTGTGATCAGTGGCTGACGAGCAACATGCTTGATAAATAATGTAATACTGTAAATTCAGAAATTATTGCGAGGTTTTTATTAATGCGAATAATGCGACTGGTTGAGTAACGCAATAATAAGAACTCGCATTCCGAAATCTTATACACATATCTTTATGCAGATGATTCTGAATTCGCAATAATTTATCTCGCATTTTTGTCTCTTCCTCTAAAATCGCAATAATAAATGCACGCAATAATTTCTGAATTTACAGTATGTAAAAAAAAAAAAACGAGACACCGAATTCCTATGGTATATCTGACCTTAAATAATTAACTATTTCATTTCGACTTCTTTTGGACTTTAAGCTCCTAATGTATTAATTTATCTTTAGTTTTCATAATATTTTTGCCTTAATGTTAGCTGCTAATGGTTCCTAATAAAAGTTAGAGCAGGAAAAATGCTTTCACAGCAAGATTCTTATTTATTGCTTTAATTCCATTTTGGTATGTACAAGTTTGTAAAATAAGTTTAACTTAAAAAATGAAATATTCTGCTAAGAACAACTGTAAATTATACTGCTACCAAAGCTAAAAATAATATCTCAAATATCTTGACTTAAATGTTGAATAGCTAAGAAGTGGATGAACACTCTAGCAAGTAAATTTTAGTTTTACATACAACATACCTATCAAAAAAAGCTGAAAGACTCATATAAGTTACTTCTCCTAAACCACCACATATACTGGCACAAACAACCCCTGAAAACAAATGAAAATGGTCATGGTATGGGTTTTGCTCATTATTGAAGGTCATATGGTGACCTAGATGCTTACATTTACATATTTTGGATTCTGGTGGATAGTTGTCCCATTGGCAATTAGCTCTCAATGAGTCAACCAAATAATAATTTCCTACCAAATTTAAAAAAAAATTTACTCTTCCTTATCTGACAGAAAAATCTGAATAATGTCATTCTCTTGCTCTGAAATGCCTCTTACATCTGTTTTAATATACTGTCACATTGAATATCACATTGGCAGACATTTTGATTGTTCTACTAAAACTTTAACAGATACTTGAAGCTAACTAAATTTAATCACATATTGACAAGAAATAAAATATAACAAAAATGTTGAAATACTTCTTTGATGACAAATTATATTTAAAAATAGCAATTAAATTCAAACAACCTTCTAATTTCAAAAACAAAACATAGATCAAAACATTTCAATGTAACAATGTTCTCTGAAGAGTATGTTTTTATTGGACAAAGAAAAGATGAAACTTACCTAATATACTCATCCATATACCAACAGAAAATCCAACCAATAGAAAACTTGACAGGTTAAAAAGCACAACTATAGCAACTCTTACTCTGTAATGAAATGATATGTGCCTAATAGGACTATTTTTATTGTCTTACTTTTCCTGTGACATTATTTCATTAATATATATGCATGCCTATTTTTCCTACCAAAAATTATGAAAATTGGTATAATATGAATAAATCTGTCGTGGAGGAAATGTATATGGTTTTAACCTTTGCAAATCATCAAGACCTGTAGAATAGCCAATGGAAATATCACAAAATAGTTTCATGATGCTGGATAAGCCAAACAAATAAATACATTTTCTTATGACTTTTTTGTATCACCCTGCAAGGAAATATCTCTTCATGCAAGAAATAGATAACAGACCTCAGACATAAAGAAACCATATGTCAACATTAAAAATATTAGAAATTTTAGCTTCCTTGAATTCCATACCTGTAACTGATATGATGTATGTAGAATGGTGCTGTCAGTTTGATGATTAGTGTAGGTAGTATATCTGCCAGCAGAATAGCCTGTTATAAAATATAATATTTTAAAGTAAGTAAATGTAACGCAGAGTTATCTAAATTTCAAAGTACCGAGCTACCATGAAATGATTCATATAAAATTGAAAATTTATTTATTGTCCTTATTTTGTGTCATAGAGCCTTGAACAGAAAAGATAAATTTGCATAGTTTTCGCATCATTACAATGGAGGTCGCATTTTTTTCACAGCTTTGGCATCCTTGCAACAGATGTTGCAATGTTATACATCAAATACAACACACATGTTTACAAATTTTTAAAACAGCTCAACCATTTAAAAATATATCTGACCACCTGCATGCAATTGGTTATCTTGTTTTGTAACATACCGGTTCTTGGATTGCACTGTCTAAGAATCTTTTCAAATTATATCTAGACTAATAAAGGAGGGTCTTGATGGGGTCCTTAATTCTGTATCTTTAATTTTTTAGGTCATTTTTCTCTATTCTTTATATTTTTGCCCATTATTCTCTTTACTTTATTTTTCAACACTCCATTATTCCTTATTTTATTGGTCAGTTTTTCTGTAGTATTGGTCCATTATTCTGTATTCTCTAAACCCCATCCAGACCCTTATTAAGAGGGTTTAAATACGTCACTTTCTTTTAAAAAAAAATACATATGAATTGGTCCTCTACTCATCAATAAGTAGAGGTTTGAATTCATCTACTTACTCCTGTAGATATTTCATTGCACTGCATGTAATGCTCATCAACTGGTGCGAAAGTAGTTGTCTCCTAAAAAGAAAAAGTTATATTTGAATATTCAACTACAGTTGTTAATTATAAAAACAGATTAAAATGTGGCCTTTTCCATATCAGCCCTGTTACCATTCTGAGACTCAAATATCAGCCCAAGGCCCTACCCTTCATGTCACCAAATATTCAAAATAATCTATCTATTTTATAATTTGCTTGTTGTAACCAGGATGTTGTTGTCTTGTCTTTTCATATTTGGATTTATAAAGTTTTAAGACAACCACAACATACTTCCTTATCCATCCTAATTACTCTACCAGCTTGTACCGCCAGAAGGTGTTGGTTCACTTGACTTATTTATTTGTTAATTGATAAATCACTCTTTATTCTGCTGATACTTCTTCTGTACATACATGTACTTAGAATGATAAAATTTAGCATGATTAATACAGAAATATTTGCCATGCAAAAGAAAAGATATACCCATTACATAATATGTACTGTAAACTAGGAATTATTTTAATAAATGGTGGAATTTTTTCCCTGCTTTATTCATGATTGGTAAAATGGGTGAAAAAATTACCTGCATGAATAGTTTGTACAATCAGCAATATTGATGTGAAATGTGAACTTATCATTGTGTGAAATAAACACCCTACTAAAATTACAACTCTAGAAAAATATCCACATTTACTTAGTATCTGTCATCGAATCTTATTATTGTTAATTTGTATATTTTTCTGACCTGAACTTTACAAAGTTATACCTTGATTTAAAGAAGTAATTTCAGAAAAAAGATGGAAAAAGTAAAGAAAAAACAAAGCAAGATAAAAAAAACCAAAGTTTATCTATAGAATAACTAATCTTAGAATTCAAATATCGAAAAACAAGTCCAAGAATTCAAATGTAAAATAATATTCAACAAGGGGTCCAAACAACACATTAATTCATGAATATTCATAGCTCATGAGTTTATTATCAGTGTTGTTTGATCATGAGTTGAAAATTTTTCTATGTTAAATTCCTTGATCAGTAATCGTTTTATTAAATAGACCATAGACTTTATAATGGTAATAAAGAAGAAACTGCAAAGAACCATATCTTTTTCTATGCATTCTTAATTCCATTTGATGTCACTGACAATGTCTTGACAACACCCAATAGTGTATGATGTCACAGGAGTGAAATTATAGGATTTATTTTACATGTGAAATTATCAGTTTTTTTATTTTACTGGGAAATTACAGTATTTCATTGCAACCAATGAATTAAAATTTTATAATATTGAAGAATGTTTGGAATTAAAACCTCAACAGTTCTAAAAATATAAATGGTTGGAAAATATTTTTTTCTCATGAAGAGACTTAAAGAAATTCCATAAAAAGACTTTTGACTCATTCCGTTTTTGGAAATGAAACAAATTTTAGGCTGTCATTATCATACTATCTTTCAATGTCATTAAGAAGCTATAAAGTATAACCGTCAGTACCACAATGTCCTACCATAGAGTAGATAACCTGTTGAAAATTGAATACTTAAGCTTCAAATACATTTCTGTAGATGGTTTTACATTGTTATCAAAATAAACAAAAGGAGATGTGTTATATTTGCAAATGAGACAACTATCCACCAGAGATCAAAGGACATGAAGGATGAGGATGTTAAGTCCATTATTGAAGGGATCCAAATTTTATTTTAAATCTGTAGATTTTTAAACTTTTATTTTTAAACTGCAATCTTATCAAATTAAGATTATCATTGATTATATGGACTGTTTAAACTTTTATTCAATCTAAATCTGATAAAGTATGCTGATATATGATGTTATTTACTTTTTTGTCTCAATTGTTTTTATTTATTGGGATTCACAGTTGAACAGATCAATATTCCAATCAAACTATTCATAATTAAATGGCATACTATTAAAACCATTCAATATTACATATACCATGTATACATTAAAAATTTGGTAACATGACTTTTCAGGTATTATTTTGAGAATATATAGTTGTCACTCAGAAATTTCCTCAAATTAATACATTGTACATAAAGTTTTTTTTTTTTATGTTGGTCTTTTTTTATATATGGAGGAGGGGTTCATTTTGTTGTTGTTGTTGTTGTTGGGGGTCTTATCCTAGACAGCTTTTTTGACATGGGTACTTACATTATGATGGACTTCATCACCTTTTTCTTGTTCTTTCAGGATATCATGAGCTGCACTTAACATTATCACATAGGCAAAATTGTTACATAATCCAAGTATCCTATAAAATATGTGGAGCAAAATTAGTCATTTGTTCGGAGAATCTAGCTTCTTAGAAAATGTTACATGAAAAATTAAGGCCTTGTTCTTTGAATTTCTGCATGTCATGGGACTTGAGAACATGTAGGTTGAGCTCCCTCCTACTTCAATTTATATGGACTTGATTGAAAAGGAAAATTTAACGTCTCTGTTAACGTTTATAGAATAAGATAATAAATCTACTTGTTATGCACATAGTTTTCTAGCAATTTACAAAAGTCAATGCGAAACTTTCATTTCATTGTATTGATGTTTGGTCAACCATTCATTTACTGTAAATACAAAATAAATACGTGCATTTATTAATACAAATCCTTGACCATTGACAAAAATGAAAAATCTAACTAATGCGTTTTCAAAAATTTTATGATGGAAAATCACTTCTAAAATAATAAATGCCAGTTTTTATTATTGCGAGCCTGATACTGTCCCATTTTTCCCATTAATAAAAACATCACAATAATTTCTGAAACTACAGTATATTCATTTATTCGATCATAATACATGTATATTTTCAATACTTTTGTCTAAAACATTTTTTTATTTTTATAGTTTGTTCTTATGTTGTACTGTTACACCACTGTTCAAGGTTTGGGGAGGGTTGAGCGCTCACAAACATATGTTTTACCCCGTCACATTCTTTATGTGCCTGTCCTCAGTCATGAGCCTGTAGTTCAGTGGTTGTCATTGGTTCATGTCTGTCATATTTGTTTTTCGTAAACTGTTTTGTTATAAATTAGGCCGTTAGTTTTTCTCAATTGAATTGTTTCATATTTTTCATGTCAGGGCCTTTTAAAGCCGACCACACGGTTTTTCTCATTGTTCAAGGCTGTACGGTTGCCTATAATTGCTTACATCCACTTCATTTGAACTTTGGTGGATAGTTGTCTCATTGGCAATCATACCACATCTCCTTACTTCTATATTCCTATATCATGTATATATGACATCAAAAAAGACAATGTACAATGTATATATATGTTTACTTACCAGAAACCAATCAAGTTTCTTTTCTTATCAAATGAAGACAATACATTGCCTGTAATATCTATAAAAATAATAAAAAATATGAAATGTTGGATAGCTGTCAGATATATTTGATTAACTAAGTCAACTGGAAGAATATAGATTATTTCCAACCTTATTCTGTTCATTTCATTGATTAGGAAGAACCAAGTAGCAAATAGAAATTTGCCATTGTTGCAAATGAAAGACTACTATTTTTTCTTAAAATTTACAATCAAACGATTAATCAAAAAACTGTGGCCCCACAATGAATGAATGATCGGTGCTTCGATGAAGGTTAATCCAGAAAAGCACTTCGAACGCAAACAAGCTACACAACGATATTTTCATTAACCTATTTTATTCAAACGGCAAAAACAAACTGATTAAAATAACAGTTCCAATGCCCCCACCCCCACCCCTCTCCCGCGTTGTACATATTGTATCTGTCAATGGCCATTATAACTAAAAAAAATTGTTTGTTCTTTGATTGATTTTTTTTTATAAATATCGTTAATAGAGAAATGCAGATTTGAGAGCAAATGCAATGAAATTTCCGATATAATTATGAAGATGAATGGTTTATAGGGTTATTTCCATTTCTATAATCTTAATATTAAGATTTTATTCTATTGCCCAAAGATGGAGAATTTCTTAATATCAATGCAAATTACTCTGAAAAGGTGTGCTGATTTTTTACATCTTCATTTTTTTATGAACATTTTGATATGAATGTCAAGAAGAATCTTAAGAGGAAGGTGTAGTATTTTTTTTTTGTGAGTTTGACTTAATAATTTCCAGAAAGAGGCATTTCAAATTTTTCAACAAGAAAAAGTATTAAGTAACTAGTTTTTATTTGAACTGGTACTCTGAATGATGATTCTTCATTTGGAAAAAGTACATTACTAGTATTCAAATATATATATGAACATGTTCAAAACCCTTAAATTGTAAAATAGCAATATAATGGGGAATAAAGAAAAACAAATTATTGCAGAAAATGCTCAGGTTAGAATAATGCTACTTTGTTAATTGTTTCAGGCAAATTACTGATAATTGTAATTTATATATTAACCTTATAAAAGACGATCATGTCACATGCATTTTCTTATACAGGGTACATAGTTTATTTTTTTGTTTTTTCATTGAAAGCAATCATTAATGCAATCATGCAAGAAAATGACAGTTAATTTCTCGTTAAAATATTGACAAGAAGCATATTTTAGCTGTATACTTTTTGACAGGTAATGGATAACCTTTATGATGCTAGCACACAGTCACTGTAGCCAAGACGCATCCCACAGACTCATGAGTTCATGATATTGGGCTTCTTGACAGACAATGATGTGTCCAGGACTCCAGGACATGTGTAAACCTGTTAACACTTAGTACCTGAATTATGTGCCAAAAAAGACAGATGACAATATTGCAAAACAATAACTTAATTGTCATGATTGTGTATTTATCCTTTTGCTGGATTTATTCTAAAGTTTCATCAGATAATAAGCACAGTAAGTTGCAGGAAAATTGGACAGATTATGAGACTGGTCAAATACTTCAAAGTTAAAATTTGATGCTGCTAAATGTAAGGTATAACATTTTAATCCTGACAATGACTAACAATATCATTATACAATATTAAATGATTCAGACAACTACTTAACTAATTATTGCTTTATCAATTATGAATGAAGAAAAGTATCTTGGAATAACTTTTGAGTCAAATTTAAAGTTTGAAAAAAATATAAGTAGTATTGCTAATAAAGCACAGAGAAGTCTCATCTCTAATTCATCATTCTTTCGAATATATATGGATCAGGATGTATGTTTCTTACTCTTTATAAGTCAATTGTTTGTCCATTGTTGGGATATGCTACATGTGTTTGGTCTCTGTAACTTACAAAAGATATCCCCAAATTGGAATCTGGGTCAATATGCGCAATTGATTTCCCATAGGCGATAATGGTAACGTTTTCTTCTGTAGCTCAGTCCATATCGTAAACTTGGATATGTATGATGGCTCGTTTCGAAGCTGAGACATTTTCACATATGTGGTTAAATTTTCGGGGTACGAAGTGAGATTCATTTTTCCGTAAATTACCATATCCCGAAAATCCTTTTGTGATGTGGCTCCTCTTGGTAAAAAATCCCTTTTTTGAAGTTTTATCACACAATAAGTTCTTTGAAAATTCAATAAAATAAAAAAAAAAAAAAAATTGGGAAAAATTCCTGAAATTTTCATTCTACTAATGAACTCAAAATCCTTAACTTTTTTATTTTCAGACTTTTTTGTTTTCCCGCATTTGCGCAGAAATCTACTTCCTTTTTCCGGTCTCGTTTGCATGAGTCTTTGAATAAAATATATATTTATCAGTCTAGTAAAATATAGGAAGGAACGCAATACCAATTTCATTTTTAATAATTCCTTGAATGGATTGATATGAAAAACCGTTACCTAATGATAGCGTTTCTTTGTTTACATTGAATATGACGTCATAACATAAATAACGTCACAACTAAAATCCCTAACAACAGAATTGAAATCGGAAACGTTACGGTATTTCTGTATCTTTTTTAACAGATTTTGAAGTTAAAATATGTTTGAATTAAAATTAAAAAAATCATACAGACTTCGTCCCCTTTCACAGGTAATGCCTGCCTCATATTACTTTGAATACATTTAATAACTCCATAGTTTTTACACATTTATTCTATGGTACCTACTTTCCAAATCAACACAAATGGTTAAGCTCAGTCACTTGTTAAAAATAGAATCATATCCAATATCACTACACCATGTACACAGAGATTTTTTGTTTACGCACAACTTTTGAGTTCCTCAAATTGAGGCGCATTAGGGATATTGACCCATGTATTCAAAGAAGGGCCACAACATTTGTTAAGCATATAAAACATTTATGTTTATGAGGATATATATATATATAGACAGCATTCATTGGGATTAAAGATAGAATATAATTAAGACAGATCAATAACATGATTCAGTTTAATTATTCAATTACAGATCGTATCCACCTGTTTTGCAATTGCTGTATCATCCCTTGCATCTTTTCCACTAGCCGCAAAATTTGCATTAAATTCCGTCCTGTGAAGTTGAATAGACAATGCATGGGAAATAGTGCAGCCATGCATATTTGAAGCACCTATTTAACCCGTACATTTCTCGTTTTTCAAAAAGGAAACGAACTAGGTGGATTCCAGTTTTCATCTAGAATGCTATACATTTGAGCACTAGGTACAGATGTGGAAATAAAGTTTGCAATATCCTTAGATTCAGCAGGTGTCCTTTTCTAAAAAAAATCTTATGAATATGATATACGGTGAAAAAGTATTTTTCTTCAAACCAAGCTAACAGAAAATGTCGTTTTAATCATAAAACCAACAAGGTATATCAGCCTTGGATTGTCTTAATTAAATCCTTTGATCTTCTAATTATCAATTACGTTCCCCTCAGGCCAATGAAATTATGACAAGTGTATATTTAAAGGAGTGTAGCGACAACGTGTCACCCTATATTCAGTGCTGGATATTCAATTTATAGTAAAGATAACATTAAATAAGAAATGGTTAATACAAAAATTATTTTCAGATTTTCAAGCGGGGGGTTTTTGCGAACACCCCCCAAACCCCCCTAAATCCGCTAGTGGGGATCCTGCCTTTCAAATGCACACCTCTGGTTACAGAGTAGGATTTTGTGTATTTATTAAACACCCACTAAGTGTTTATTACACTATTAAAATATAAAACAAAAGATAATATAGGCATAAAAAACTTCGAAAAACCATATTAGTTTTGTTACTTTTGTGTGTCAATCAATCTTAAAATCATTATATATACTTTGCATGTTTTCTCTAAAACTAAGCTCATCTTTTAAACGAGTTTCATTTTCATTCATTGCAATAGACTGACAGCTGACAACTAGAACTCTTCTGTAATTTATGTAAAGGAGATAAGAAAAGTGGAAAATGTAAACACCCGAGGCATTCCGAGGAGAATGGCGGCATCTTTCAAAGGGAACACAAAAAGCCAAAAACTTGCAAAATCGTTTAAAGACAGACTAGATGTATGAACTTACATTGTTTTTTATTTGAGCCCTCATTGTAGAAAACTGTTCTGTGTCAAGATAGAGTGGAAATGAATGTATTATTTCTGTAAATGACATTCTTCCAAATTATTCACTTGTCCCAACTTGTTTGAATGTGAAAATTTCAATCACTTTTTTCTAAAGTATTCCCACGTTTCTAGAAAACGTTAGTCTTAATCGCCATGATATTTACAGTCAATAAAAAACGGTCTTGTCAAGTCAAATGTGTATATTGTTATGAGTATAAGTAGCTGCAGAACTGTAGCTCATAGCCATAGGTCCTTATGATATTTTTTAGGACCTATGAGCTACGGTTCCTCAGCTAGAGTATAAGCAACTGGGAACTAACATTCATTCAGGGGTAATGAGTATACAAGTCTGGTGTAACACAACTCAACCCGTCTACAAAAAAAAGAGAAATCTGTGTCTGAAGTCAAGAGAAGTCAGACCATCTTAAATGCTGACACAGTATAAAGGGAGATTTTCTATTCCTATTTTGACAATTAAAAAGATAAAATGAGTGTTTACGACGAAAGAGACAACTAAGGACCGTCTAGACTACATGTATGAATAGAAGTCGAACTATCTTTATAGTCAATTCAAGATCACAAGACACAACAAAATGTACTTAAACGGACGGTCCATAAATATGAACATACTTCTTCAGTAGTTGACTGACTGTTATGTCCTTTGTGGCATACTGACGATCCAAGTTGACTAACTGACATATACTTAAGGTTAAAACATAGATAATGCCCCTGCTTGCATATATACATATAACGTTATAAAGAGGCATAACTCGTTGAGAACTTTAAAAGTGATGCCACCCAAATTTCAACTTGATCTGTGTTTTGTGGTAATAACCATTATGTATAAGTTTCATAACATTTGGTTGAGGCAAACTAAAGTTAGAGAACAGAAACCAATTTTGGGGAGTACAGACAGACAAGGGTAAAACTTAATGCCCCCTCCGGTAATGGCGGGAGCACAAAAATAATAAATATCAAATTCAACAAATGAATAAAACATTTTCAACCTTGATCTTTTTTGCTAAAATAAAGTTTAATATTAGATTGATAAAGATTGGTAGAAATTATATACATCTACAAAACAGCAATAAGAGTGAATAAATATACTTTATTTCTTCAATTCATTGTTAAAATATATACAAGCTGTTTTTGCCTTGTTCAATACCTCGGAGTCCATGGAGTCAGGACAATACTTATTTATATTCCATATTTTGATTTTGTTTTGGCAAATAAGTGAGCATATAATGTCATTTGACAATTCTGACCTATGTTGATCAGGTTGAATTTATTTTAGCAATGAGAAAATACTTTCACTATCTACCTGCATTACTATTTGCGGAACAACACATGCCAGGGCTAACTTAGACAAATTGTGATGTCTAGGTTGTTTTGAAAATAAATAACTCTTTATATCACACATTTCCCCCCAAAAAATTCTAACATCTGTTTCCCCTTCAGTCCTTTTTGGGAGTTCAGCTGCTGATGCCAGGTAGCAATCTAGAAATTCCTCTGTATGTTTGTATTGCATAGGTTCATCTGAAGCTAGTATCTTTGGAAATCTTGATACTTGAAGATTCATTGCTGAGTGAACTTGGTTGTAAAAATTGAAAATCTATCATCCAGTCTGCTTGAAATTTGCAGTTAAGTTTCTTCTTTTTTACACTGCCGCTTGGTCCAGACAAAGATCTCTTTCTTATTGGAGTTGACATGGCAGAAATTATTTAAGATAACTTATGAATCGAACATTGAAACTATTCACCAAAGTTTTCATATGATTGCCCATTGTTGTATTATTTCTATTGACTGTAATGAAAAACCTTAACATTACAAACGGGGGTCATTCCAGGGTAAAGTATCTGAATGCCGGAGATTCCATATTCCCCTCCGTGAGATTTCCAGAATTTTGTCGTTTTTGCGGGAGACTCCCGCTCAAAACAAGAGGGTTGGCAAGTATGTCTTTGTCTGTGTTGTCATTATAGATGGTGTGAGTTAAAGTTATACATGTACACGGTCCGAGTTGACTCTTTCCAAGTTGTCTCTGGACCATGTTGTCCGATATTCTTCAAGTCATGTTTGTTTACTTGAAGATGTAAATGATATTTTCTTGTATAAAGAAGTTGGTAAGATTTTAATTTTTCTTTTAAAAAGTAAAATCACAAAATTACTGAACTCTGAGGAAAATTCAAAAAGGAAAGTCCCTAATCAAATGGCAAAATCCAAAGCTCAAACACATCAAACGAATGGATAACAACTGTCATATTCCTGACTTGGTACAGGCATTTTCTTATGTAGAAAATGGTGGATTAAACCTGGTTTTAAAGCTAGCTAAACCTCTCACTTGTATGACAGTCACATCAAATTCCATTATATTGACAACGATGTGTGAACAAAACACACAGACACAATAGGTAAAAATTTCACAAATAGGGGTACAACAGCAACACGAACCCCACCAAAAACTCGGGGTGATCTCAGGTTTAAAGGTTTGAATAACTTCTCTTATTCTTTTCTAAAATTTACTTGTACATATAACTAATTTTTTTTTTACATCTCCTTAAATTTCAGGTTGTGGCACGTCAAAACATGCCTTAAAAATACTTTTCTGGTTTGCTCATGATTTATTAACTAGAGTTTAACCTTAAATCTCAAGAACTAAGCAAAGAAATCCACCGCTCACAGATGTTGGTGGTCTCATGTTAGCGTGCTTGCCTCAAGTGAAGGAGGTTGTGGGTTCAATCCTCTGGAGAGTTAAACCAAAGACTTGAAAATTAGTATTTGCTTCATCTCCACTTAACATGTAGCATTTACGACAGCAACACTGAAAATGACTGACAGGAAGAAAGATCAGAAAAACAAGATCTACTAAAATATCAATATGACCTAAACCAACGATGATTATTTATCATGTTTATAGGAGTTTTTGTCCTAAAATTACTTTTTTTTTTCTATTATTTTCGTTTTTTGACAGGTGAGAGATTCAGACTCTTGGGAGTCTCTTGTTCTTTTTTCTTTTACTTTAATACATGTAGTGTTATGTTGTGATGTTACACTATTGTTTCAGATAAGGGTGAAGGTTTGGTACCATTAAAACGTTTAAACCCGCTGCAATTGTTTGCACCTGTTCTCAGTCAGGAATCTGATGTTCAGTAGTTGTCGTTTGTTGATGTGGTTCATAAGTGTATCTCGTTTCTCGTTTTTTATATAGATTAGATCGTTGGTTTTCCCATTTGAATGGTTTTACACTAGTAATTTTTGGGGCCCTTTATAGCTTGCTGTTCAGTGTGAGCCAAGGCTCCGTGTTGAAGACCGTACTTTGACCTATAATGGTTTACTTTTATTAATTTTGACTTGGATGGATAGTTGTCTCATTGGCACTCATACCACATCTTCTTATATCTATATATTATGTACAGTGCTAGATATTTAGTTGGTAATTCATAACATGTGAGAAAAATATAATTGTGTAACTTTAAATGACAGTTTAATTAAGACCTAGAAATAAGGTAAGACAACTGAAATGATATCCTCAAATATGAAATAAAATTGGATTTGTACAATATAACAAAAAATTGGATAAAATGGATACACATGGCAAGATATATCATTGTAATAATGAAACATTAAAGCACTGGGAGTGAACTAACACTTCTGTATTAAAAACTCATCATAACTTACAATTTGGTATGCCAGACGTACATGACGTACTATTCATTTATGTAAGTTTCATTTGTGATGTTCCAGGCAAAACAGTTGGATGGCCAGATCAAATACGAAGTTCAAGAGCATTAAAAAACTAAAATTTCAAAAAGTTGTTCTAAAAACTGCTCAGACAAATTACCCCTGGTGGTAGAAAAACCTTTGTGTTTCAAATAATTCAACATTTTATAATCAGTAAATTTTAAGTCTCGCAACCATGACCACCTGTATCTATCAGTTTCAAAGAGAGAAGTCACTTGAACTTCTTCCTATGAGTATGACACTGAAATAGTGTGAGCCTGGATAACCTTGGGAAGAACATCAAAGAATTTTTTTGTTTTCTGATATTTTTTAATCATGTTATAACATAAATCCAATAATTACCAAAATTAGCTTGATAAATTCTTTGTTTTTCTTTTTATCATGTTTATGGTAAAGTTTTGTTTTGCAACAATTTATTTGAGCTTGGAATTTTTTTTCAGCAAACTTGCATGGATTAATGGTATGCTTCTTCAGGAGATTTAGGTCACAGCAGCTATTTAAAGATTGAAATTTAGACTAAACCATTCCTTAATATATATATGAGTGGAAGTCTACAAGCATATGACATGAAGAATATAATGACAGTTTGCTGCAAAATTTGATAATATTAACAGAAGAAGAAACCAAGGACATGACACCAAAAAATCTCTCTTTTTTAACTACAATTCCATGAAGACGAAGTCTCTTTATATGTCCAGACACATCTGTAATTTTTAAAATTTCTCCTTTCAGAAAATTGGATGTCCTTACACAGAAGGTGTTGATGATTCTTGGATAACTGAGCTCATCTTCAAACCAGGGGAACCCAGGATTAGATTATTACAATGGTTATTTTCTAAGTAAGAGTTCAAATATTTTTTATTGTTTTCTTGAAACTTTAGAAATTAAAAGATAAGGGTTTTGTAGACCCATATTGCATGTTTTGATTAAAATTGCGTGTTTTAAGTATTTATTGACCATGTTGACCTTTTTAGACCACTGATTGAGATTTTGAGATTTAAAAAAAAAAACATGCTAGTTAAACTTAACTCCACTGTATGTACAAAATGTACATCTGTGCCTATCCCAAGCATGCCAAGTCCTTAGTTAACCTCTTTTCTAGACAGGGCAGTTTAGAGTTTTTGGAAAATGACGCTATCAGCGGCATGTTTCCGATACCATTGACCAGAACTAACGGAAGTTGATTATGCCTCCGCCTACCGCACTCGGTTTCATATTTACTATTTTACATACTAACTGGAATCTGCTTGTATTACGCTACACTCGAACAAAGTCTTTGTTTAAGTGTTGTAGTCGGACGGGAACCAGTTTACATACGTTATTTTATTTACCAAAAAGATACCTTGACCTGTCCAAGGATTTGTATAGTGATTTCTCACTATAGAAATCCTTGACCTGTCCATATGATTTTTGATATTTAATGGTATTTGGAGCTATCCCTTTGTTATATTTTTCATATTTATTCGAGCTTTCACTTTTATGCACATGTCTTACAATCGTAAACAATCGGTATGTATACATGATAAATAGATCCGTTTTGTTGTGGTGTTGGACTTTTTACCCTCCAATGATCAGCAATCGCTAGACAAAATAGTTCTCCTGAATAATGTCAGCCTTTCATGCCATTTCAACTTTACAATCATTAAAAAAGTAATAATCGGAATCATTTTGATATCCATTGGATAGAAACTGGTCTTTATCCAGATTTACGAAGATTTTAATAATCGGAAATTAGTAATACGGTTATACCCACGCGGTGCGTATGAATCTTTGTTTACAAAGTTATAGCAGCAGAGTCTGTAACTGTATCATTATTAATTAACTACACTGTTATTGTACTTAATATGATGAAAACTGCATATGCAATATAAGATGTCAACTCGGCCAATACAGATTTTTTTTCCGTATTGGCCGAGTTCTGATCTGGCCAAAACAGGATTTCGGAACGTCTCAAGTTTTTAGATCGTAAGTCACGATAAACTCAAACTGAAAGTAAACAGTTGTTTGTACTACGCAGTTTTTATTTACTCACCATAAACAAGCTGAAACGTTCAGTATGGCATATATTTTAGGTTAAAGACGGTCCCATTCGTTTGAAAAGCATTTTGAAAGTAGACGATGGAATTATTTCAGGTTTTAGGGAACGAGTAAATTATCACAAAGTTCATTTCTTGACGACCTCATAATTTCATCATGTCGATGGTACAAATCGATTTTTACTGTTCACTTTCGCTTCTCATGTTTTGTAAACGGTCTTTTATTTTTAAACCCGAAACAGGCATATGCATTCTGTAATTGCGCAAATCTTCGTTCTTTGGTCAATTGGTTTATGGATAGTTGTATCAATTTCAACTCTTACATTATTTTTTTTTAAATTTAAATTTGCATTACACATGCAATGGCAGTACCTTTCCAATTACTATTTATGTGTTGTGTCTAAATTAAAGTTGTAACACTTTATAGTGACTGGAAAGGGTAGAAAAATTCATCAGATGAGAAAAGGCTGAAGATACATGGAAACGGCACCAAATCATTAGATATTGCATCTTATAAAAAGAAACTGAGATTTGGATAGTTCCACTTCAAGGTAAAAATGTTTATCTCTTGTGAAATGAAATACAAAAATATTGTAACACTGTAGTTTAATAATTAATAAAGATACTATTACATGTATTTCTGTATTGGCCTTATTGTTGGTCCTCGGCCAGCAGTATAGGCCTTCGGCTTCGCCTCAGACCAATACACCAAGACATGGACCAATAACAAGGACAATACAGAAATCCTTACGCAATAATATTTTAGAATGACAGTATGGTTCAATAGCGGGAATCAGCCCCTCAACTACTTTTTACATAAATATTAACTTCTAGCTTCAACTCTTTGTTCGTCTTGTCTGGAGATCTTGTTGTAGTTCCAGTTAGGCAAGCATTTTAGAGACGTATCCCGTCCATCCTCTCTTGACTTGTAATTTCTGATGATAGATTTTGCCGCTTGACGTATCCTTTCAAGCTTGTTTTTTTTATTACCGTGTAGGAGTCCCATACTATGGCTCCATATTAAATTGTAAGATCCATTCCTAAAGGTCTAGATCATTGTTCTAATCTGACACAAATTTCAATAACTGGAATGCTACCCAAGTTAAATATATGGTGACCTACTAGAACAGCATTATCACTATTGAAATTGTGTTTAATACCACGATTGTTCAATGTCATTAACTTAAATAGAGTCAGACATTTGACCTGAAAGGTGGTGTGGGAGTGCAAAATCAAAAACTAACTGACTATGATATATGGTTAAAGAATGAATATCAATTACATGGGTCAACATGGTCAAGGGCAGAGTTGTTATAAAATAACAATATGGCAGAGAAGTGGTTTCAAGTTTCATATAAAGCGACCTGACTGACATGAAATAAAAAATCAAAGGAGTTTCCCTTTTTGTCTAATCTTCAAGGTGAAATAAAACTAGTAAAACAATATTATACTATTGTCTAAATCTACAGAAATATAATTTGCTTCAAGTAACAGAAATAAATAGGTCACTATAGTAACTTATTTAATGAGTATGTGGGGTATAAGAGCTTGATAACAACAGGCTCTTCATAATCATTTGGTTTGAAAAGGATGCTAGTAGTCTATATTCTTGATTTAGAAAAATGTAATTGCAAGACAAAAATCACATTACTTAGAATACTTTAGATCATTCAGGTAGTCTTTATTTATATGTACAAAAGAACAGCCAGTAGTCATTGGATATTGTAGATCATTCAAATAGTCTTGACCTATTTATTAGTACAAAAGAACAGCCAGTAGTCATTGGATATTGTAGATCATTGTGGTAGTCTTGACCTATTTATTTATAGAAAAAAACAGCCAGTAGTCATTGGATACTGTAGATCATTCAGGTAGTCTTGACCTATACATTTGTACTAAAAAAACAGCCAGTTGTCATCTTCACATAACACACACATATACGAATATCAATTATATGCTTACGAGACATGTTGGAATGTTAAACTAATTACTGTATGTGAAAATCAAGACTTGCATAAAAAATATCACAATAGTAGAGACAGTGGTGTCATTTTTCCTCAGAGCTTTCAGCTCTTTGATTCATATATGTTATGGCACTTATTTATTGTCATGATTGTTGGAAGACCAAAATGAATGATTATCTTCATTATGTTCATTTTCCTTTTGAATACAATTGAGATATAAAACAACTTGACATCTAATTCTATTTTTCTATTTTGTAAACTTTTACGTTTTTCGAATATGAAACAATAATGCTAAAGTATTTCAAATTGCTATGTATATATTTGTATACCTAAATGTATGTAATGATACACATGTCACTATAATAAGTGATTACTGGGGGTTTATCGATAATCAGCCAAGGGATGGTGGTAATCCTATCATTCATTCAGAAAAACTGGAAAGCTGTAAGAATACTCTTCTCTGATTACACTATTTGGTAAAAAATAAAAAAAGTTTAAAGTTAAATCATTTTAATTTATTTGCCAAATGAACATTAAAAAGCTATCTGTTTAAGTAAAAAAACAAACTGAAAGATGGTTTAAAATTGAAGGTGTAATAATAAATAGAAAAAACAGTCAAATACTCCAGACTTTGCATAGACACAAAAAATATATGACTGATATATTTTTGTATTTATGCAAGTCGAAATTTGATGATTATATTCATTGAAAATATTAGAAATCATTTGTCCCTTCATAATCATCTATTCATCTGAAGCAGCTTTAACCAAAACAGACTTGTTCCAGTCTGAAGACTAAAAATGACTCCTTCAGGTCGATTCTTATAATAAGGGGACATAATCCCTACTGAAAAATAAATAATCTATGTGAATTGTCAGCTGTACAAAAATTGACTTGCAGAATTCATTTAATGTTTAAATTGAGATTTGTCGAATATCGACTTGATTAAGTCGAATTAGTATTCATGAAAAAAGAGAGATAACTCTTGTTTTTTACTTATTTTGACTTGTAGAAGTCAAAAAATGTTTCGACTTGTACATATCTGAGCTCTGACTGACTTTCTTACTTACTATAAAAAATGTTAATATAAATTTATACAAATTTACTCAAATTTCAATTTAATGATAATTCCAGAATTATTGATTTCCTTTTACTAAAAAAAAACAATTTCTATTTTGCCTTATAGATTTGACAGCCAGTTAAATGACCTATTAGATCCTCAGTATGCCTCTGTGGAGTCCAAAATGGATAGTCGAATGCAAAGTAAGTACAAATTTAATACTTGTAAATAACAAAGCTGTTTACAGTAACCTGTTTAAGTAAGTATGATTAAAGTCATATGATCCATCAAATTTAAGAAAAAAGATGAATACGTTTTATCATGTTTATATGAGAAAGGCAAAAGATACCAAAGGGAAATTCAAACTTATAAGTCGAAAAATAAACTGATAACGCCATTGCAAAAAGCAAAAAAGACCAAATGACAAACAACAGTATAAAAAAAATGAAGTTTTACTATAAAAGAAGCATACATAGACAACTTTTTTAAAAAGAATATCCTTGATTTTATACATAAATTTTTTAAAAAAGATTATCTTGATTTTATCTTAATATTCAGAAATGTATAACTATCATGACTATTGAATAATTGTCATCCTGTACTCTAAATCATTGTCAGCTTTTGTATATATGTAGTGACCTTAACCATGACACCTTGTTAGTAATTTGGCAATCGCACAGCGCAAGTGTGAAGGGAAAAGATGACAGAAGAAAAATTGATACAAAATTTTCATATACTTAATCATCAAACAACTGTTATGACAAGATTTCATTAACTAATAGGAATGCATGCAACATTAAAAAAAACCCAAATAAATATTGATTTCCACCATACTTTTACAAGTGCTCCAAGATTCTGTGTTGATTTTTTATCAAGGTCAGTTACGATCGGTAAATATTGGCACCAAAGCTTAGTAGTTAATTAGCAGGTAAAGTCTTAGACCAATAATCACAGAAAGGAAATTTATATGTTATGGATTCGTAGAGGTGAAAAAAAGTGCACAGAGGACTTAGTTTAGAATATATGCATCCATTGGTTTAATAATTTCCATATCCTAATAATCTCCAGAAACTTTTTTTTTATAGCCTTGTTGATAGTTTTGTCCTATTTTAATGACTTGTCATGCTTGTTGATGCACTGCATGATTATGTTGCTATAAATATAAACAATGTGGGAGTGACTGTGCATAATTTTTTTTTTTTCATTTTAGGACTTCTGTTTGTGGGATCTACCCTTGGACTCTGTAGATATGATGATGTTGATCTTATAAGGGTAAGTTTGTTTTTTTGTCAATGTAACTTTCAATAAAACATGTGAAAGGAACATGTTGATAAAATTCACACAGCTTGCCTCAAGAAAATCAATTCCATCTGGTAAAAGAAGAAAAGAAAGAGAAAGATTTGACTCAAGATATAGCGATTATTTACAGTATCAGACCTGAAAAGATGGGCTCAAACTGTCAGTTTAAAAAGCTGAATTTTAATTTTGACAATTAATTTGTAAAACTGCATCAGTTCAAAGCTAGACCAAATTCCTAGAAATGTTTTCTTAAGTGCTGTATATTTCTCAAAAGATTACATGAAATTTCTATTAAATGATCAAATTGAATCATTTTTGCCAAACTTTTAATGTCTGAATTTTCAGGGAGTCACAACAGGATCCAAACAAGCCGCTTTTATGGATAATTTAATTGACCTTGTATGCATAATGGATACCGCTGAAGACCCACAGAATAAGGCATTAAGGAGTCCAGGTGTTGTCAGGTTAATAAATGAACTAGTTAGGGCTATTCCATTAAAATGTATGTGGGAGGGTAGGAAGGGACTTTCAAAATATCCCAGAACCAAGAACCATTTTTTAGATAATTTTGCATAATGGTAATAGACGCATACCTGCCAACTTTCACAATTTAGGCGTGTACTACACGATTTTGACCCTTTGTCACGATTGCACGATCTTGATCGTGAAAAAACCTCTAAAACACGATTTTGTGAAAATCTACACGAAAAATATGATTGTATTCCCGATTTTGACCTGTTCCCAAGGGAAGACAATCGTGATCAGCCAATCAAATTCTGTGTTTCTCATGATCAAATTAATAAGCCAATCAAAAATGTTTTCTCTTAAGATATTTCTAACATGCTAGATTTTGAACTTGTGTTGTATTCCTCTGTGTGTTAGTCAGAATTGTAAAATCGTGAACATGGAAGGTTAATTTTCATCTGCAAGGAAGTTCTTAAACAGCTTAAGAATAAAAGCATGGCTGATTGACAAAATTCAATGATGCAGTACTACCATAAAGATAATAAATAGTAGTTTATTCACTAATTTATTGACATTACACTTGCTGAAACATATGTCATTTTTGTATTCAATTAAATTACCAAATGGGGCAAATCATTTTAGGTACAATGTACTATACATTTTGTACTTCATTTTTTTACAAGGACCAAACAAACAGGTTTGGAACAAACCCCCAAATGAGGGGTATATCCCTTAAATGACTGTTGTATAAAAGAAAAAAGAAAACTTAAGATTTTTTAACTCAAATTTTTAAAATTGAGAAAATTCATTAAAGTCTTTTCTAAATGAGGGGTCCAATTATTTTTAATTATAAAGAAGATAAAAATCCAGGAACATTACAAAATTCTTGGACATGTTTTGACCATATATTACCAGATAGATGTATAATTCTTTAGGAAAAGTTTCTTCAAATATTATAGATATGTGCTCATTTGTACTTAAAATTGGTTTTTAATGTCCTTACATTGAGGGGTTACCCCTTATTTGGGGTATTGTTCCCAACCTGATAAAAGTCCTTCTTTATGCATAATTTTAAATTTTAAACATCAACAATCATTTAATATCCTAACACAAGAAAATAAATCCTGGTCTTCTAGCTACAGATTCATCTTTTCTACTGATATATTAATAATAACTAGAATCATGCTAATAAACTTAAGAAAAGGGCTTGTAAGCTCATCATACAAATATGACACTTTTTCTAGACCACAAAACAGCACGCGCAAAATATGTCGCAAAGAATTGTTGTCGTGCACTAAAACCCCCATGAGGACTTTCAAAAGTTGGCTGGTATGTAGACGCATACTGAAAAAAGACCCATGACCCACATTCAATAATTAAACTTCCCTTCCTACCCTCTCACATACATTTTAATGGAATAGCCCTTATTATGAAATTAAACTAGGATGTAACATTAATAAAATCTAGGACATAACATTAATAAAAACTAGGACATAACATTAATAAAAACTAGGATGTAATATATATAAAAACGAGGATGTTACATAAATAAAAACTACAATTGAGCTTACTCCTACATGCTGCATGCTTGTATACTGTACTTGAATCAACAAGATGTTAGTTTGTTTAATAATGCATGAACTGTTGATGCTGTAATGCATGCATAAAACAAGATGACAGCAAACTGACATTGTTAACAAAACAGAATTGATCAAAACCATGTTAATCTATATCACTTTATTATACATTTAATAACTAATTTTCTGTAATTAACTGATAACTCATATTATTCCATATTGGCATTATTTTAGTAGGTTTCTTTATATGAATTGGATTTTAAATTAAAAAGCTTATTCACCTGGAGAAAAGTTATATTCACCGCAATAAACGGCACACGCTTTTACATGTAACGTTATGGTAAAATGTTTGATGTACAATTGGTTTTGGTAAATATTTGTCAATAAATACATTGTTTTCTCTCAGAATATGGAATAAAACAATTACTGTCTTTTGGTTCGGTAAATATGTGGTTTAATTGACTTTTGAAAAACTGATATTCACTTCGGCCATCGGCCTCAGTGAATATCAGTCTTCCAAAAGTCAATAGAACCGCATATTTACCTCATCAAAAGACAGTAATTGTATGATATTTCATTTTTTTTCTTAAAAGCTATCCAAATAGTTGCTAGATGTTAAAATAAATAATGTAAGAGTGAAACCCTAAGATTCTTGTGACTTACATTAGATTCTCAAGAGCTTGAAAATGTTTTGTTTCAACACTTAAAAGGTATCATGAAATACATTTCATAATTTTTTTTATTATGACTACAAGTTATCATGATCAGTTATAAGAAAATTGGTTATTATATGAAATTAATAGTTATTGTTGTAAGGCACACATTTTTTTTATTTTTGTTGTTGTCTAAATGCAAAAGCGTTAGAACTGATTAATAAGCTCTACTATATCAATTATTCAAAGTTCAGTTACAATTAGGTTATGACATGTATGACATACTATGAAAGCAAGATATTAACCTTTGATCTCTCTATTTGTCAAAAATATAGCATGTATAGTGAAAACAAATTTATGAGGTTGCTAGAAAATGCCTCAAATTAGATTTTATTAATCATTGGAAAAGCATAAGAGATTCCATGTCTCATAGTAAGCACAGCAAATTAAAAACCTATTTTGATTTCAATCTCCACTTGAAATTTGAAAATTTTGTTTATATCAAAAGTCAACAAAAACGATTCCCATTGTTTAGATTTAGACACAGAAACCATAGTCTCAGAATTAAGAGAGGTTGTTATGAAAGAATTATTGATAGTCGAGGAAAATTGGTTGTATTACCTTGTCACAAAAAAATATGCAAGTTTTGCTCACTCAACACCTTTGAAGATGAAGCTATTTTTTTATTTACATTCCCTCTCTATGATAATATTTGAGAACCATATCTTGATAACATTTTTCACAAGTTTTATAACTTTTGAGAAAATTGCAAATGATGACATGCAATTTATATCTGAATTCAGTGATTATCTTAATTCTTTATTTGAAACAAGAAGGGCAAATGATCTGAGAACAAATATTCTTTCTTGTAAAAACATTTTTTTTTATTAACAATAAGTTTATGAATACTGTACATGTAAATTCAGAAATTATTAATTTTAATAATGTTAATAATGCGACTGAATAAGTATAGCAATAACAAGAACTTGCATTCTTATATCTGATACATATAACTGTATTAATTAATCTTGCATTTAGTCCATTCTAAAAAATTCCCAATAATAAATGCATGTAATAATTTCTGAATTTACAGTAATGTGGACCAGGAGTTATCCTCCTTTGTACATATAAATAAGAAGATGATGAGACATCTCTCCATCCAAGTCACAATGTGTAAAAAGTAAACAATTATGTGTATACTATATGGACTGACTCTCCTTTTATTATTAAACAATTATTGTTTGTTAGGGATCATAGATTTATTCTTACGAGGAAGCTCCGAGCATGCTCGGAGGATGCTCGGAGCTTTTTAAGTAGGCTCTTCTCAGAAGTTTATGTGACAATAATTATCATGATCCATTAAGATGTCAATCAAATCTACAACACTTCTATGATAAGGAAAGTAGAGCATTATAGAGGAAGCTCCATTAACACCTGTGTAAACATCTGGTCTATTCAAATACATTTTGCATGAAATTTTATAAAACTATAAAATAGATTAGAAATACTTCAACAGTGCTGTGTAATGCTTGGAAAGAAATTTCAAGTCTCCACAAAAAGTAAAAGTCATTTAAATATTTTCTTATTATATTTAATAATCATTCCTTTTTTTATAATGAAAAAATTCTCAAATTTTATAACTAGATGATATGATTTAGAGATAGTTTATATTATATAACATGCTACATAAAAATTATCAAGACACAAACAACAGTCAGGTGGTGATACTAAACAACTAATTTTTTTTAGTCACTTTTATAAGTATTTTTTGTTTTTAAAAATTATTTAATAACTCAATAGTTATTTTAAATGTCAAATAAAGCATGGACTAAATGTAGTTTTTAAGAATTTTTATATCATTTCATTAAATAAAATTAAGTATTTATCCAATTTGAGATGAGTATAGAGAGGTTACTTTAAAAAATAATGACAAAAATATTACCGGTACTTTAATAAATTATTTTATACAACTTCAAAAAACTTAGTACTTACAATTATTTAAGGAATATATGTAATTGCTTTTGATGAAGATTCAAATTATAAATAACTTCAAGTCTTAATTAAAGGTTCCATATCTAGTTATAACTGTCTATTTCTAAGATTTTAAGGGGAAATGATATTTTAATAGCCCCAAGAGACCAATCTTTGACCAAGAAGTGTGGCATCAGAAAAGCAATTAGTGCTTGTTGAGGATTTAAATAGTTTTATCAGTATATTTCATGGGGAAAAAAAACAGATGTCTGTGAAAATTTGTTAAAGCTAGTAAAACCTGTATGAATGGACACCTATACAAATAATTTTAACAGAAGTTACTTATTCATGATATAGAAGTAATATTTGAAACAGCCTCGTTTTCAACATAACTTGTATAGGTTATTTTGAAAATTACTTGTTTAAATAATGCCCCTAACAAAACAATGGTAATATGTTTTTTTTAAATAGCAAACTAAGTTCTTTTATAGAAAATTATGGCTACTTTAAGAAAAGTTATAATTCATTAGTGGAAGCCTGGTTTGAGGGGGTAATACCACCATTGTTTTCCCTCTAGTACGTCTCTCTTTACTTGGCATTTTTTTTTAATTGTGCAGATTTAGCTTTGTTTTAAATAAAGAAATACTTGGCATGAGTATAATTATTTTCCCCCTATAAGTCTTTGTTTAATTGTCATGATTGTTATATTTCAAAAAAAATGTGCAGAATTTTATCTATGTTTTAAATAAAGAAATACTTGACATAAATAAAGTTTTATCCTGTCCTGTACTACAGTGAAAATATAGCATAACTTTTTAATGCATATAAGAAAGTAAACATCACCAGAAGTTAACCAATCAAATTCTCTCCCCCTTTTTTCCCTGTAGAATATAGTATATTTTTATTGCTTTGAAACACCCAAGATACATGTTTACGACTCAAAAAAACTTTTCTGCAATGAAATGGAGGGTTAATTCCAAACAACTGTCAAATTAAATGGAATATAAAAAAAGATCAACCCTTTTTCACATGAAACTCAATGTACTATGTTTTGGTAGTATATTTTATATAAATCAATAACCATAGTTTGTGTCTTTGATGACTTTTATATTTCATTTTATATAGTATAAATTTAAAATATATTTATATTTTAAATATAAAATTTGAGTGTTTTTTAGTATCATGTGTATTGAAAAAGAATGATAATTATTAAGAAAATGTTTTAAAATCATTTTTTTCTGTGAAAACTTGATACCAAGCATTGTATAGTAATATTGAAGAATTTCTCATCTATTTTATAGTTTTGTAAAATTAATGCAAGATTTGTTTGAATATACCAGATGTTTACACAGGTGTTAATGGAGCTTCCTCTATAATGCTCTACTTTCCTTATTATAAAAGTGCTATAGATTTGATTGACATCTTAATGGATTATGATAATTATTGTCACATAAACTGCTGAGAAGAGCCTACTTAAAAAGCTCCGAGCATCCTCCAAGCATGCTCGGAGCTTCCTCGTAAGAATAAATCTATGATCCCTTATATGTATTAATAATCATAATTATATTGTATTATCGGTATATGTAGCTTGATTGATACGCTTGTAATGAGCCCTATGATTAGGAAAAAAATATATTAGTATTAGTACAGAAAAAAAAACTCTAATACACACTTAAATATATTTTTGTGATTAAGCACTTTAAAAGTCCAGAACATTTTTCTATATGGTCTATTTAAAATATTCAATACAAAATTATTTTTACCTATGTACATACCCTATTTTTTTTTCTAAAAGACAGGAATCAAATATATATGTATATATTTTGGCCTAAAGATAGTACAATGCATTGATTTGAAAATTGTACACTATTTATGTGAAGAATATTATCTGTTTTCAGTGATGAGATGAGTTTATATGAACAGTTTACAAGTGACTGTAACTATATGGATACACTAATGAACCAAGAGAAAATAGGAGCCATTTTCAATTCAAGATTGACTCTCTTACCAGCAGATCTACAGAGACAAGTAGAGGCAGCATGGGCTGATCAAGGACATACAAGAGAAAAGTATTCATTTTCTAAAAAAAATATTTTGAATTGCTGTTGTTTAAATATTGAAAGGAACGATTTTACATATTACTTTCAGTCTGACAGGAAGAGGGTTGAGATATTGTAAATTAAATTTTCTCATCATATTATTTTCTCAGGTTTTGTTTTGGAACCTTTTCACAAGTTGCTATGAATATGTACCAGAGCTCATGTGGGTTTTGTTTTTCGCCTATGAGTGGGCGAAATGCAAACACAATTTCCAACTTGTCCATCCTGCTCTTCCTATTAAGTTGGCATGCAGTTTTATCAAAACATTTACAAGTACCGGTACAATCTTTTGATATAGTCATATGAGAATTTACGTTGAATGTTTTTTTTTTAATTAATATTAGATATAAGCTGGAGTATACATGGATGGATTGTCAAATTTTTAGTGTGACTTTGTAAATGATAAAAGAATGACTATTTCTCGGACTTTCCTATTTTTTCAAAATAAAATGAATTTCAAAATAATAAAAATCTCCTTATTTCTATATACATGTTTATAATCATAGAATGAAGGTTTCTTCTGCAGGTTTAACATGCTAGATAGAACCTGTTAAATTTATAATTTCTTTTCTTTCCTAATTGTATAAGAAAGATATTAAGCAGATGTCTTTACATGAGTCAATATCCTAAGATTTGACTTTCAGATGAAGAACAGCAATAAAAGCGCTCTTCCTTTCTTGCTTTGGTATTGACAAGTGCTTGTTAGGATTGTTTGTAATGAATAAATACATTTTCACTGAACTAGTACACAATTTTATTTAGGGGCCAGCTGAGGACCACCTCCGGGTGCAGGATTTTCTCGCTGCGTTGAAGACCCATCGGTGGCCTTCGGCTGTTGCCTGCTATTTGGTCGGGTTGTTGTTTCTTTGACATATTCCCCATTTCCATTCTCAATTTTACTATTTATAAACTATGAAAAGCAACGACAAACAAACAAACTTGAATAATTTATTAAATAAGACAAACAATTAAACAATGTGTTTTTATCATATATGTTTTGTACACTACATCAGTTCAGAACAGAAATTCCATGGAATTGATATATTTTTAAATGTATGTGGATTCCCTTGAGTCACAAACCATGATTTTGAAAACCAACATTGCTAAAAAAACATATGCAATTTCGGAAGGCTCATATTAAACAAAGACTGCACTTCTGATGCCTGTCTTTGGACAAGCAGGAATAGTTTTAAACTGTGGGTTAAGAAGGTTTAAGAGCTGTACAAAAATTGATTAATTTCAAACATGCATTTGCATTTTGTTTACAATTTTGTGTGACGATAAAAGTAATGAAATCATGAATTTTTATTTTAGTCCTCCAAAAGTAAATGTACAAAATCTGATAGATTCAGCAGAAAATTTAGCTAAAGATATACAGAGACAAAAGGAAATTTTAGAGGAACTTCAAAAGAAAGTGAGTCAAGAAATTTGGAATTGCTTACCCATATATAAATATGTATACTTTATAGTTTGTTATTACTTTAGATTTATGATTACTTTCATATGGAATCTACATTTCCAAGGATATTAAGCAAATGATAATCAATCTCTAGTTTCAAGGGAAATAACCGCTGGGAGGATGCAAATTAAAACTATCAATATCCTATGTTTACCAGGTTTTTGTCTCCCCTGTAATGAAAGATGTGTAAAATAAGACTCATGTAATTTCCTGTGATGGGGTTAGCTTATAATTGTAAATACTTTATTATCTCACATGATTAAAATATGTGGAGTATGTATGTCATTGAAACAGCAGCCCAACAACAAAAGTAATCCAAAAAATAATTAGAGGGCAAAATTCATTTCAAAGTTGGGTGGTATACGGTATTTTTTATGTTAAAAATCAAAATATTTGTATGTCTGGTTTGCTTTTTTTGATAAGAATTTCTTTACAATCTTTTCACAATCAGTTGTTGTAAACACTCAGTCAAAAATATGCAACATAATTTATCAAAACAATGCAATAATCATCATTATTATAAGATTGCAAATGGCTAACTTCCAGGTATAAAAATGTTGGATGAAATTTGAATTGTGAAAAAATTATCAAAATATTGAACATTCAGAAAACTTTTCCCAAGGGGATAATCTTTAAGCTTAAAAACTATTTATCAATAAACTCACTGTTTAAATTTTTTTTTTTACAGTATGAATATGAAGAAGAGGAAATTTCTGAAAAGGAGCGAGTAAAGAAGACCTTACAGCTTGTGTTAACTGAACTGACACATCTTGTTACCAATTTCTCATATTTATATGAAAATGAAATGTGTCTTTGGTGTAATAAATCTCCACCTTTTCTATCAGATCTTGGTACAGCTTTCAAAAGAGTACACAATCTACTTCAACAATTTGTTGCAGTAAGTACATACTATATAATTGTGTTTGTATGTTGACAGTTGGTGTGGTTTATTAGAAAGTCCTATATTTTTGGTAATTTCCTGTTATCCTTGTTATGTTTTTTATAGGGGGCCTCGGTGGCCGAGTGGTCTAAGTAGTTACTACTGTAATCACTAGCCAGTCAACGCTGAGGTTGTGAGTTCGAACCCAGCTCGTGCGGGTGCACTAGACTTCAATCTTAATTGACTAGGATTGTCAGTTTTCCTATCGAAGGTCTGTGGTTTTCTCCAGGCACTCCGGCTTCCTCCACCAATAAAAACTGGCCGCCACTAAATAGCCCAAAAGCAGTGCTTAAAAGTGGCGTTAAAACACCAAAAAATCAAATCAAATCAATGTTTTTTATAGTTTCAAGGAGTGTTTTGGTTTGATTTATTAAAAATCATGAAAATGTTTTGTGACAGCTATTGAAGAGAAAGAATACACTTGTTACCGAAAAGCAAAATTTGATGAATTATCTTTTTCAAAGCTTCAGATACTCATGATACATACCATACTTGTAAACTATTATTAAAATGCAACGATTTTTGGAATATAGTTTACATTAGACCTTTTTTGCATGTAGTTGTTATTTGTTTTACTTGACATATGATTTTTATACCCCTGCTTTAAAAAAAAGGGGGGGGGGGGGGTAATACTGTTTTACCTCTGTCTGTCTGTCCGTCCTATGAATATTTTTCATCTGTCCGTCTATCCGTCTGTCCATCCGTCCGTCCCATGAATATTTTTCTTCGCATTTTTCTCAGGAACTACATCAAGGATTTCTGAAATTTGGTTTCAGGGTTTATATAAGTCAGCTATACCATGTGATATGTTTTCAGATTGAGCACTCAACAACATAGACAATAACTGTTTAGTGTCTTTAATATCAGCTGTATTTGTACGAGGCTTAGAAACAGGTGTAATGCGAGCTTCAGCAAGCTATTAGTATTACTCCTGTTTCGAGGCGAGTACAAATACAGCTGATATTTAAAGACACTAAACAGTTCTTGTCTTTATCCTGCAATTAAAATGTTGAATTTGTTTTTGAAAGAAATCGACATGACTTGAACGCGGACCGCAATGAGGTCCCCAAATTGAACTGTGACGTAAACAGTAATTTGACATAACTGTTCGCTCGCAACAGAAGCAGGATACCAGGAGACTATATACGTCTAGTATACTTATATCGCTTCGTGATATCTGTACACCTGTATTAGTATAGTAGAAAGGTCGATTGCAGGATAAAAATGCATATTTGGGCGGGGGTATCATCAGTGAGCAGTCGCTCGTAGTTTCACTTGTTTTTTGCAGTGGCAGTATTTGAAAGGATACTAGCCTTGTTTATATAAACAACAATTGTGACAGTTTTTAAATATATTATTTTTATTTCTTTCTATACATTCATTATTTTTTGTACATTGTAGATGTTGAAAGGTTTTCAGTCAATCAGACATTCCTATTCAAATCTAAGCCAGGAAGCATCAATGAAATTAAAGAGATCTGGAATGAAATCACAGAAGGATACTAGTCTTGGTAAGAATTGTGGCTTTTAAAGATACAATTATATTGGATGTTGTGAACAATTTGAAAAGAAAACAAATGTCAGCAAGCATGTTTACCTTGTAAAATTTCATGTGGTTAAATGAACCACAAATTGTCTAGTCTATTCAATTTTGATAGTAAAATGCAAATGTTGAAATTAGCATTCTCTAAGATGTATATATATGCTAAATACTTAAAGTCAATGAACCATGACAGAAGAAAGAGAGCCAAATAATTTATGAGATATAAGATATACTAATGCTAATACAACTGCATACTTAATATTATTGACTTATCATAAGATGTTCCCCTTAAACTGACCTTACCACAAACTTTGAATTTTCAACTATGCCAAAGTTTCAGTCAATAGATGATGACTGAGGGGCAGCGACAAATAATCTCCAATGCTTATACAACTGCATACCAAATATCATAGACTTACCATTAGTGGTTCCCCTTAAACTGACCTAATCATAAACTTTAGCAAAATGTTGACGCCGCCTCTGTTAACAGCATATGTATACCTAAGTCTAGCTTTTCGACTCTGGGAGACAAAAAATTAGCTGGAATTTTCTTTACGTATATATATATGCTATAAAGGAGAGAATAAATAAAACAGCAATTTTTGAATGTTTATGCACATAACAATATGCATTGATCATGTTAATATTAAACAAATAATAAGTATGCAATTGTCCACAGTGCTTAGATTGTTGACTGCTATTGAATTCAGATAGCCATTTACTCTTCAGTTCAAGTCTGTGATCTGTATCTTATATGAAGTAGTATCTAAGGTTGTTGACAGTGAGAAGTTCTAAACAAGGAATCATTTCTGTGTGATCTGTATCTCATATGAAGTGGTATCTCAGGTAGTTGACAGTGGGGTGTTCTAAACAAGGAATCATTTCTGTGTGATCCGTATCTCATATGAAGTGGTATCTCAGGTAGTTGACAGTGGGGTGTTCTAAACAAGGAATCATTTCTGTGTGATCTGTATCTCATATGAAGTGGTATCTCGGGTAGTTGACAGTGGGGTGTTCTAAACAAGGAATCATTTCTGTGTGATCTGTATCTCATATGAAGTGGTATCTCAGGTAGTTAACAGTGAGGTGTTCTAAACAAGGAATCATTTCTCAATGATGGATTAATGTTCATGCTGACCTGTATCTCATATGAAGTAGTATCTCAGGTAGTTGACAGTGAGGTGTTCTAAACAAGGAATCATTTCTCAATGATGGATTAATGTTCATTCTGATCTGTATCTCATATGAAGTAGTATCTCAGGTAGTTGACTGTGAGGTGTTCTAAATAAGGAATCGTTTCTCTGTGATCTGTATCTCATATGAAGTGGTATCTCAGGTAGTTGACAGTGGGGTGTTCTAAACAAGGAATCATTTCTGTGTGATCCGTATCTCATATGAAGTGGTATCTCAGGTAGTTGACAGTGGGGTGTTCTAAACAAGGAATCATTTCTGTGTGATCTGTATCTCATATGAAGTGGTATCTCAGGTAGTTGACAGTGGGGTGTTCTAAACAAGGAATCATTTCTGTGTGATCTGTATCTCATATGAAGTGGTATCTCAGGTAGTTAACAGTGAGGTGTTCTAAACAAGGAATCATTTCTCAATGATGGATTAATGTTCATGCTGACCTGTATCTCATATGAAGTAGTATCTCAGGTAGTTGACAGTGAGGTGTTCTAAACAAGGAATCATTTCTCAATGATGGATTAATGTTCATGCTGATCTGTATCTCATATGAAGTAGTATCTCAGGTAGTTGACTGTGAGGTGTTCTAAATAAGGAATCATTTCTCTGTGATCTGTATCTCATATGAAGTGGTATCTCAGGTAGTTGACAGTGAGGTGTTCTAAATAAGGAATCATTTCTCAATGATGGATTAATGTTCATGCTGACCTGTATCTCATATGAAGTAGTATCTCAGGTAGTTGACAGTGAGGTGTTCTAAACAAGGAATCATTTCTCAATGATGGATTAATGTTCATGCAGAGAGAAACAATAGCCTCAATTTGAATCCCCATTTGAAATCCTAAACAATACCACAATCTGCAAAAGACTAGACCAGTAAAAAGTAAATGCATGTCTCGTTCAAACTTACAAAGGACAGCTGTTAAATATTTTCTCTATCTAAATTTTATGATGAGCTTTAAAAAAATATCAATTGATTATTTAGGGGGAACTCCTTTAAAATACAAATTACTTTGCAAGAAGCAAGCTGTTACCTAAGTAATATTAATTTCACCACCTAAATTTTTTACATAGCTCTAGAGGTAAAAATTCAAAACAAATCAGCTAGACAGTAGTAATAAGAAAATGAGTTTACTATTAACATGATTAAGTCTGAATACCATTACATTCTGTTATTAGGCTTCTGGCTGATTCTTGAAGAAGCCATTACTGTACTGTACACCTTGAATTGTTACATCAAGATGATAAGCCAAAAATAAAGTTGAAAGGTTTTGACTAGGTTACACATTCAAGACATTTCTCTGTGTTGACAGTTTATATTATCTTTTACAGCATCAACAGGTCAGGCAGCTTTAGAAAGTTTCCAGGAATGTGTCAGTGTTTTGGATGAATCAATACAACGTCATGATATGGTAGATGAAAGTACAAACATTTCCTTTAGATCCTCGATTCTTAAGGTGTGACAGTAATTACATCAAATATGCATTTTATAATAATTTAACAAATTTGTACATATAAATGTCTCATAAATAATAAAAAATTTACTTCAATAATTACTGTTTGTATTTGAAGGCAAAATTTAGTTTTTACTTCTGCATGGCATGAAAGTATAATACTGAATTCAGTGCACTTAAACGGGTTTCTGGAATAAAGTTCATCAGTTTTGCCTGGGACCAAAATGTACAAGTCTCCTTGAGAGTATAATGTATAATAATCTAATCTTTAATTGAGGATGAAAGGATAGTGGTGAGTGGGAGATCCACATAGAAATACAAGGAAATAACCAAAATAAAAAATAAAATTTCATGATGCAAAAAAAAAAAAAAAAAGATAAGATCGAGACCAAACAGGAAATTACACCAACTAGATGTGACCATGCAATATGATAACTCCCACATGCAACCTTTTTAATGATTATATAATTTATAATTTCTGAGAAATTATAGGAAAGGAGATGAAAAGTTCATATGATTGATCGATTGTTGCTTTTCAAGAGGCAATTATTTCATGGAAATTCAGGACAAGAACAAATTAAAAATTTAATACAAAAGGTAGACTTGTCAGAATGAAGGTTCATTCCTTAACATATGGAAATTTGAAACCAGAATTTTTATAGAGCTTTTCTTATATTATAAGACATAAATAGACCAATTTTGAGTTCCTTTATATGAATGAGATATGAGGTCAATCAGGGTGAATGATGTCATTGAACAATCGGCTATTCCTGTGATGTAATAACATGAGCATTGTGACATCAAAAAGGAGTAGGGGCATTAAGGGCATTATTTAAATAATGTTTTTGAGCACTCTTTCAAATTTGCACAAAATGTTTGGAAATGCATAAAATCCAGAAATAATATAAACACATTTACATAATATTTTTAATGTTATGATGTCACATTTACGTAATATACATCATTTTCATGAAAATAAAGAAAACTGCAGAGTTTATGCATTTTCTGTCATTTTTTCCTTTGAGGAAACATCTTGCACAGGCAAGAAAATACAATATAATTTAAGAGAAGCTTTATTATAACTATTAACATATTTTATCCTAATATAAAGCTTATTATATACTTAAAAGTTGTTTAAAGAAGCTGTACAAAATATACACATTTTGTCATAGTTGGATGCCATGGTAACATGTTAAATATGAAATTTGTTTTTATTTTTCTTAAAACCGTTTACAGAGGAGAAATAATTAGTTAGGAGAAAAGTGACAAAATCTTCTAGATATCAATCACATTGAGGAATATCATTGGAGGGTTTCGACGATCTAAGTACTCTATCAGGATAAGTTATTTGCTAAAACTAACAAACATGTAACATGTAATGTAAAAATACCGATTTTGTTATATATGATTCTGATCCACAAAACCTAAGGAAATTGCTCGGTTTGCATTGAAAATTTATATTCATGTTAATATGACGTCATCAAAAGAGTGTAGACACTTGCAAGTTGCAAGTAAATTTTCAATGAAAGACTTGTTTCCAATCTAGTCATTGTTTAAAATTTTAGCTCGAAACAAATGCCATATTATCGAATTGTTTAAATTACATCTAACTATACGCAGTGTGGGCTTCCTTTACTTTTGAAGGCCTTATTGTGACCTATAGTTGTTAATAATCTTGTCCTATATCTTTAGTGGATAGTTGTCTTGTGGTACTTGTGAGTATATATAAATAAATGCTCATCTTTAACCCTGTGACTCATGAAATAAAACATCATACTTAGGTCATTTGACATTTCTTATACCTTGCATCTGAATCAGCAATACAGGATCCTATATCATAATATAAGTCACCATTGCAGCAGGAGTTCAAAATTACTTAAATTAATAGGTCAAGGACTACTTGAATTTCAAGTGAAATGTCCTAAAGTAAGTCAAAGATCCTGTATACAATGTGAGTTGGCTAGATGCATTATTTGATAAAAGTTAAAATAGACCTTAGATGTATATTTGATGTTTTTTTCAATGGGTTTCTGTCATATTGACTGCCTTTCATCTCTTTTCATTCGTACACAGTTACTTTAGTTTCAAAAAGATGGGTCAATCCTATATTGAATTTGAAGTACAACAGAATCAATATCTGATATCCATCTTTTTCTTGGCCATTGTGGAAAATAATTTAAAAGACGTTTTGAATTTTGTAGCTTACTACCGGTACTAAATACTACATCATGGTCATTTATATAATAGTATACAGTATGGGTTTTGCTCATTGATGAAAACTGTACAGTGACCTGTATCCAACTGTTCACATCCTTGTTCTTGGTTAGATATTTCTCTCATTGGCAAGAATACCACATCTCCATATTTTTTCAAGTTAGTATTCTACTAGTTGTAGTACTGCTCAATTATTTGACATTTACTAAGTATTGGTAGCACAAAACCATAATTTGTACACAATATTTAAGATTTTTTTTGCTCAAGTATTCATCGTCCAAATTGTATACTAGAACATAAATGCATGCTAGAAAACTATTGAAAGAACTCTGTTCTCCACAGGTCAATATGACGTTGCAATTCCGCACCTTCAGAATATTTTTCTGTATTCTTTTACAAGTGTTTCAGGGAAAAGATTGAAATACAATGTATTTTCCCATGGTTTACATGATCAACTACTGAATTAAGTCACAATGATGAATGATGATGCCCCCGCTTGCATATAACGTTATAAAGGGACATACCTCAAAAACAGTAAAAGTGACACTACCCAAATTTGTACTTGATCTGAGTTTTGTGGTAATAAGTATTGTGTATAAGTTTCATAACATTTGGTTGAGGCAAACTGAAGTTAGAGAACAAAACCAAAAATTCAGCAATTTTTCCATTTGTAAAGGGGCATAACTTTAGAACGGTTAAAGTGACGCCACAAAAATTCAAACTTGATCTGTGTTTCATGGTAATAAGCATTGTGTATAAATTTCATAACATTTGGTTGAGGCAAACTAAAGTTAAAGAACGGAAACCAATTTTGGGACGTACGTACAGATAAGGGTTATACTTAATGCCCCCTCCACTACGGCGGGGGCATAAAAATTTCTCATAGGTAAAAAAATATAAAATTTTTACACGATAAATGATCATGATGATTGATGAATACATTCATTTCAGTATTATTTAATTTCTTTTACCATTTTCCTATTATTTATGACAATATATATAACTCCTTTTCTCATAAAAGGAGTGAGTTGACAATTGCGGCCAATGTCGACTTATTAGTGGATCATATTTTGCTGAACATCTTTGCTTTTTATAATTTCTCTCTATTTAAAATATCATAGTTTATGCCAAAAATGCAAAAAAAAAAAGGTCTTTCAAGGGCAATTGACAGTTTGTCCATGTTGACTTGTTTGTACATCAAATTTTGTAGAAATTTTTACTATCAAAAGAATCTTTCTATCAACTATAGTTTCCTAAAAAAAAATGCAAATAAAATGCTCCTTGAGGCGCAGCTTGATATGACCCCAGAGGTTGAACCCTGAACAGTTGGTGCACATATGGACTTCTCTATCAAGCTTGATACAGCTCTGAATTTGGATTGTGATTAAATATTTTTGACACATCATAGGTTTCTTACACAGAATAATTGTAGTCAAAGAACTGAAAAATTTGAAATTGAACATTTACCTATTATGGTCCAATATTCAAAATCAAATTACATGGTTAAATTCAGCATATCAAAGAACCCCAAGAATTTAATTTTTGATGAAATCAAACAAAGTAAAATTTTGGACCCTTTGGACCTCAATGTGGACCAATTTTATATTGGGGACCAAAATTACTTGAACCCAAAATCTAAAATCTATATACATGCTTAGATTCAGCATATCAAAGAACCCCTTGAATTCAATTTTTGTTAAAAATCAAACAAAAGTTTAATTTTGGACCCTTTGGACCTTATCATTATGTTGACCCATTTGAAAACCGGGCCCAAAATCAAAAATCTAAATACCTGGTGAGATTCAGCATATTAATTTATAAAGAACCCTGATAATTCAAGACTTTGAATTAAACCTCATGGAAATTGGTCAAGAAATAAGCAATTTATACAAAGTATTAGAAAAGCACTATTTTTGGCCCCTTTTTCCTAAATTGTCAGGGACATTACCCCCAAAATCAATCCCAAACTTCCTTTATTGGTATGGAACCTTGTGGTACAATTTCATAGAGATCTGTAGACTTAAACTCAAGTTATTGTCTGGAAACCAGAAAATCCTAGTTTTTGGCCCATAATTTTTTAGAAATGTTATGGTTTGGGCCATAACCCCCGATTTCAATCCCAACCTTTCTTTTGAGGTACAATTTCATATAGATTAATAAACATATACACAAAGTATTGTCCCATTCGTTTGTTTTTTTTACCCTTTTTGGCCCCCAATTCCACAACAGTTAGGACAATAACCCCCAAAATCACTTCAAACTTTCCTTTTGTGCTATGTAACCTTGTGGTACACTTTCATAGAGATCCATACACCTATACTCAAGTTATTGTCTGGAAACTAAATGTTTTAGGAAGATGTCACAACATTATATGACTGCAAATTTGTGTGGTCCTATAAAAAGGTAACAGGGGTCATGTCTGCTTAACTTCTCATGATTCAATTTATTTTGGATATCTAGTACAAAGTTTTTAATACATGTATCACATAAACTGTTATCACAGAGATATGTCTCGCCTTTTTGTAATTTTGATAATGCAAATGTTGAAATTAAAATAGCAATACTTTAACATGTAAGTTATGCAAATATTCAAAGTCGATGAACCATGACTGAAGGTACATGGCTAAACAATCTTCATGGAATGAGATATGCCAATGCTTATACAACTGCATACCAAATATCATTGACCTACCACTAGTGGTTCCCCATAAATTGACCTAATCACAAACTAATACATGTAAAATATGAAAAGTTTCAAAGTCAATAGACCTTGACTGAGGGGGTGGGGCCAAATAATCTCCATGGTAATGAGATGTGCCAATGCTAATACAACTGCATACCAAATATCATTGACCTATCACTAGTGGTTCACCATGAACTAGACC